AAACATTAACATAAAATGTGTTTATAGAGAGGAAGACAGTCCTCCAAGCCTCAGGATATTTCAGATTCTCCAGCTCCATGGACTGAACTCCAGCTTGGTGAGTGGCAGTTTGGGCTTGGCAGACCCTCAAAAAGCCAAAATGCTGAAAAACCAGCAGTTGAAGGAAATAAAGGAAATCATAAATAGCGACCTGGATAACACTACACACAGAAGGCAGTTGCCAAAGAGGTGGAAATCTCTTTCCATCAGTGTAAAGCTGGGATTACAGGAGTTTCTCTGAAACTCAGTGGTGTGCCTGTATGCTCTGTAGCTTGAACAGAAATGGGAACTAACAGATATCACAGCGTATCTCACACAGTCTGTATTAAAATCTTTTGTCTAGACAAGGATGAATTCTTGGGTGATGAAATATATCCTGTTTTCAGCGTTGACAGAAACAGGCTGCACACTTAAAAGTTTCAGGGAAGTGTTTTTGTGGTCGCTTCTGTGAATAAAACAGATGAGTGGATATTCCAAATAGTACAGGTGGGTTTACTTTGTGTAAAGATTGTTTAATTTCTAATTCAGACTACCTAGGACTCAGCTGGTCTTAAAAGTTCTCCTTCCATTGTGTTGGTCTTGTATGCCAATCTGGAATCTGGGCTCATGCTAAACATGCCTTACAGTTTAACACCCAGCAGCTGTTATTTATAAATTTTATATTATAAAATATTTATTTGTTGGTTCATTTATTGACCTTTGCCTGAAAAGCAGAAGCAGCACCTGTTGTACAGGTAAGAATTTCAGAATCAGATTTTCAGTAGGATTTAGGACTGGTGTCTTGTTTTGTGGAATTGTATCTGGGAAAATGCTTTCTGCTAGTTTAACAGCTAACTTCCTGCCCATAGATGAAGAGAAAATATATTCAGTGAACTTAAACTATAAAAAACACAGTTTTTTTTTTTTGAAGGTACAAGCTACATAATGAAAGGTCATTTCACCACAGCAAATGAAAAATGGTTGTAGTGTGTGTACATCTCTTGTATCCAAACTATTTCACATTCTTAGAGAATTCCAGGGAGAGTTCCCAGAAATGGGAAATCATTTCTAAGTGTTCATCACGTGCACTTATAACAAGTCATTAAAAGGGAGAAGTTGGGGTTTTTTTCCCCCATACAGATTTAGAAACTCCAGTTTAAATGTGTAGAACACATGAGAAAGTCAAAGTCAGTCCCTCCCAAGAGCAGGTGGACATCAACCATGACACCTGCACCATTTCCCTCTCACACCCACTCTCACCAGCACAGTCACAGCCATGAGGTTTCTGTAGTAATAAAGAGAATTAACTGACAAATTCAGCTGCTCCCAGCCCTCTGAGGACCCAGCTCCAGAGCCTGGCCATTGCACTGACAACTCCTCTTTCGATACCTGAGGCTGTTACTGAAGCAGCAGACAATGCAAACCAAGAAATTCAATATTTGGCTCCTGTGGATCACAAATACCCATCTGCTGACGTTCAAATTAAAGAGCCAAGCAAAAAGAAAGGGGTGTTGCTTTGTTTAATTTCCAGCACTTCAATAAAATCCAGGATCTAAACGTTCCCTTGGGGAGGTACAGTTGTAACTACATTGTTCACACTTAATTGCAAGCACTGAAAAAGTTATTTACGCTTCTCCAACATTGGGCATTTCGGGTTTCATTCTTCACCTCACAGACAGCTCTGCTGGAGAGTTTGCTAACTGGGAACAACTGGAAGTGCATGCATTTCTGGAAGTGATGGACAGCTGGGAGGATAAGAGGAAGTTAGTTCAGCACCATTTGTTTAATTAAAAGTACATTAGGCCATATCTTGTGTAAAAGTCGACCATACAGCACTGTAGGATAGCATACATAATTTCTTAAAGTTGATTTTGTTTCTGATCATATACCACAACAAGGTACATGCATAAAATAACAACAAAAGGAGTTAATTGCCAAATGTTTACTTTAATTAAACCTTTTAAATGATACACAGTACAATGTATCCACTACTTTGCTAAAATTCACAACAAAAGCAGGTTTCATGTTTAAAAATACTTTTCATAATAAATTCATAAATAGATGAAGGTAAAGTATAAAAAATTACCGTAGTATGCAAGCTTGCTCCCTTGTCTCCTCATATTCCAAATCATTTATTCGGTATTGTGATAACAAAGATTAAAAGCAAAATAGTTACTGATGATTAGAAATGTACAGCCTGCATCTCTTGAAGAAACCTTGAAAAGCAACAGATTTGTCCTAGAAAATGCAGAACCATTTTAACACTGTTATCACCCAAACCCCTCAAATAATTTTGGAATGCAGTGAATGAATTCAATATGAATTAGAGATTTTTTTCCTTCCCCCCAAGAGGTGTGTGTGAGCCAGACTGGCTGGGATGCTCCCTGCTCTGGAGTTGTGGGGTTTTTACCTGTCAGATCTCAGCGAGTGAGGCACAGAAGAGGGAAAAGCTGGCTGACAGCACAGAGCACATCTGCCCATCAGAGATCTAAAACAGAAATCTTTAAAAACAGTTACAAAGAACTAAATTCACCTTCTGCTCAGTACATGCCTGTATCTATTTTCTGTTTGGCAGGCAGGACAGGGTCTGGTGTCCCCCACTGGCTCCCCTGTTTTGGGAATGGTTTTTGTGTCTCACACCATTCCAACACAACAACTGTAGGGAACCCCTCATACTGCACCACCAAGCCCAATTAGCAAAGTTACTCTCCTCATCAGTATTACCACTCTCTTAAGAAAGTGTTTATTTTGTCAAGTATCAAACTACTTTTCACACTTTATCTATTTTAATATAATTTTTAAAGGGAAAAATCTTTCTTATGCACAGCATTGAAACAGGAAATCAACATGAAAAATGCAGAATAACCAGGATGCTCTCCTTTCACATTAATGATTTTTTTTTTCTCTCTGATAACTATTTCCCTTTAGTGCAAAACCACTTCCACACAAGTTTTGTGCTTTATTTGCAATGGTACTGAGATGCTTTTGAAGAGATTGGGAGGCATCTGTCTGCAGCTTTTGTGTCTGTGTCAATTCAGCTCTTGGCTCACTTTTAAGAAATGTCCTCAGGACAAGTTTGCATGCTGTGTGCAAAGGACAATCTTCCAAACCTTTGTTTTCATATATGATAATCGAGGCACACAAAACAAGCAAGAGCTCCACTTTTGGTGAAGCTCTTGGAAATCTATCAATATTAGCTAACAGGAAAGCTATTAGTGGTTTTAGCTGGGCTTCATTTAGATTTTTTTCCCCCTGAAAAACCTCTTTCCAGTACTGTGGGAGGACTTCCCTCCCCTCTGTTCTTAAGTATTCTCATTTTTGTCAAATTTTGCTTTACAAAGCAAACATTAGCAGGTTTCTGGGCCAGCATTTATTTGCTTTTATATTTACATAATTATAAATATTTCTACAAGTTCCATCCGTGATGATGGACTGGATGAGAAACTGGAGATAAAATTAGCTTGAAATCAATACAAAGTGTAACAAAGGCTCCTGGGAACCACATTTTGCTGATGATTTCATTTCAGTATTTGCCTCTGCATTCCACTCCCAAGTGCTACAAGGCAGAGATCAATGTCCCCTCCTGTGCTTTTGTAATATTTTTGCACACTTTGGTACTGCCAAAGAGAAATGATAAATACTAATGCAAATACATGATCAGCCAAGGGGATCTGCTTAAAAGCAATTACTGCACCATAGTCCTGTTAATGTTCAACTGGCAGTAAACAGATTTCTTGGCAAATGTTTATGCTGTGAACTCTGAACAAGCACTACTGAATTATTCACTGGATGTACATCAGTGCCCATTTATACCCTGAGAGCTGAAACTCGGGTTTTTACCCGTAAATCACAGGTTTATTGCTCCTCACTCTCTTCACTCCAGTATCCTTTTGGGTTCAATGGGATTAATGGAGTTAAACCAACAATCTCCCTAATGAATTTCATGGCTGCGTGTAGTCCCAGGTTTGATAAAGTCTTCAGCAGGGCAGTGAAAAGCTCTCCATTTACTGTTTATTTCTGGTCAAGAAGCTCCCAGCCTAGGGGGCAGTGAACAAAGGAAGGGTTTGGTAATCAAAATAAACTTTAACTACTGAGAGCTCGAGCACCACCAGCTGCTAACCTGAAAAATAAACCAGGTCTTCAGGTTTCTTTTGAAAAAAAGGAAAATTAAAAATAAACCAGGTCTTCTTCTATTTCTTTTGTTCAGTTAGGAGGGCATGCAAACTTGTACTCCACTTGTTACAACACAGAAGAGCCAAGAGTTAAAAGACAAAACTGATTTAAAGCCACGGTTTTAGTTCCCGGCAAGAAACTGAAAACCAATTGGAATTGGTGCCTTCACTTACAGTACAGCACACAAATCACTGCTGCTGTATTTCACGTTTTCTGACCGAGCCAGACTGACCTGCAGACAGAGCCTCACCCTTCAAGCCTGGTTTAAGAGATACATCCAGGCAAATTGTAATGAAAAGTGTATTGCCTGGTCTAATTCTACTTATTCACTAAACAAACCTCAAAACAAAGAGGTTTAGGCTAGAATAGGATCAACAGTTTCTCAGTTCTTCATCTACTGTAAAAACACAATCATTCACTGGCTGCACTGGAAGCAGGATTTATGTTCATTTTGCTTCTTGTTCCAGTTTTAAGATGAGTTACTATGTAAACTATGGATTTCAGTCTGAGAAGTAGCAATACTGCTCTTAAATGCATGTGGATTTTTCTCATTACTAAATAATTTGGCACCAATCCTGCAGGCAGTGGGGGGCTGAGCTCATCTGGGGGTCCCTGTTCAAGCAGAACTGCAGGACCACGACCTACAGACATCAACTGTAACGAGTCAGGACAGAAAGTCAAGTGTCTGCAAATGTTCTGTACCTTAAGGATCTCAGCAGGAGGAAAAGCAGTCACCAGCACCGAGTTTCAGCTCGGACTGTCTTCACAGTTCCTCCTGAGAGCAGAATATAGGGAATACACCGACAATTCTAGGGTTTGGAAAATTCCCATTTTCATTCCCATTCCCAATTTCAAATCCCCAAATGTCTAGCTGGACATTTATTGCCTGCTATCTTTGGAAGTAGGAATATTCTGGAAAACTATCCAAAAACACTACCAATACTGCAGCTCAGCCTGCCCTTCTGTAGAAAGTATCAGAATTGTGAAAACTATACTAGTTGAAAAACTTAAGGCCTTTTCATTCCCCCAACTATAAAATTTGAAAACTAACCCCTTAGGTAGAAGCAAACAGGCTACAAAGCACACACTACTCCTCAGTTATCTACCTCACAGTTTAAAAAAAAAACCAGAAAGATCAGAAAATGGTTTAGTATTTGCTACAGGAAGATGAATAGTATTAAAATTGGTATCCATTAGCCCTTTCCTAAATCTTCCTAATTTTCATGGCACTGGATATGTTGGATGACTAAACTGGTGCAGGCCTAGTAGCAAAACAATTCAAGTCCTTTTTGATCTGGATTTTTCAGGGTCAAGTGATTTCAAATGGGTGCTTTTTGAAAGTAACTCCTTCAAATGACCAGAATTGCTTGCCATTCCTGAACACCTTTGCTTTATCTGCAGAGTTAAAGATTGCTGCCCCTGCTCTCTTTGCAAATACACTTTTGTAAGGTGCCTGAGAGTGTAAATGCAGAGGAATCCATCAGTACCTCAGCTACATCTACAAGAAACTCTACAGGGCTGCATCTGAAATAACTGGATTATAAAATCTGTTTTACTTTATGTAGATTTTGATCCACTGTGAAAGATTTTTCCTGCTGAGTGTTTTAAAGAAATGAAAAGCAACTGGTAACTTGTGTTAGGGAGAGGGGAACATCTGGGTACAAAGCTGGGAGGGAATCACTCAATGCTGGTTTTTCACAGCCAAGAAGTTGCAATCATGCAGTTCTCAGCTATTCTGAGGTCTTCTTTCCCATTATATGCCCATGTAGTACTTAAAAGAGATGGTTTAAAAAACAAAACCAATAAAAAAAATCAAATCCACTTATGCCACTTATGCACTCTGGTAACACAACATCAAATGTTTGACCAGAATGAACCCTGTACTTGACCTTTAGGCACATGGGAAGAGATCTTGGCTACAGTCAGCTCAAGGTTTCTCCGGTTTCTCTTTCCAGTGGTGCAGGTCTTGAGTTGTGGAATGAAATGATGAGACCTGAGGGCAAAATCTCTGGAAATGCTTCCACTTGGAAGAAGGAGCTACCACTGTGCAAACAACAGGAAATGAAATGCACCTTCCCTCTCCTCAAGGCTGTTTTAAATCCCTGCCCTGGTCCAGCCCTGCTTGCGATAGCGCTCAGGCTGGTTTTGCTTTCTGTTAAAACACTAACTTCAAATGATAACAAAACCTGAGAGAAGCTCCCCCACCTGGGCCTGCTCCAACAGCAACTAGCAATTTATATGCCCTAGGACAGGTGACTGCTATTTGGTCCTGTCATCAAAATCTTGGCTATTATGACCCTTGAAATACCACTATCAAAGACACTGACACTTTCTGGTCACTAGTGCAGCGCTGAGGATTTAAGGAGACACTGTCAAGATTGCCTATTCCAAAAGTGATCTCCTTTGCCACCAGACCCACGCTAAATGCTCAGACCTTTGGGTTTGCATCAGCCTCTTCCCCCAACCAAATGTCTTCCCACCCCAAAATACCAAGTTCAAAGTCGTTTCCTCCGTTTTTGTAACTCGTATGAAGCTTACAGAAAATAAAATGGTGGGGACAAATGTTGAGTAAGTTTTTCAGAGGGTTTGACTTTTAGGACTATTTCTCCAAAGTCCCTTTTTAAAATTAAGACACCGAAGCAAACAGGATTGTGTCTAACTTCTACAAAATTGCTGGTTTCACAGGAGGAGGAGGAGAATATGGCTACCATGCTACTCAGCATTAGGGTGAAGCACCGTCTAAATTCCAGTACAGCTAGGGATATCAGCTAGCTCTTATCAGCAACCACACCCCCAGCCTTCCACAACGTCTTTGCTGTCAAGCTTGATGCTGTCAGTGTTCTTCTCACTGAACATGGGCCCTCCATGCCTCATCATCAGCTCTGTGGCCATCTTCACAAAAGCCTCCTCCACGTTGCTGGAGTCCTTCGCAGAGGTCTCTATGGCACAGATGATGTTGTCATGGTGTTCAGCCAGGCTCTGAGCTTCTTCCAGCTGAACCTCTCTAAGGTCACTTAGGTCAGACTTGTTTCCTGGAAGGAAAGGGAACAACATTGAGATTTATAAGGGCTTGTTTGTGTCACAGGCAGCGTTTGGCAGGAGGTTCTTCAAGGAAGCTGAAGAATTTCCATTCTGTTGATTCTCAAAATGTGACTGAAAAGGCTCTGACCAACCTGACTCTGGTCTTGCTTGTCCCCAGCCCTTTCCAACCTGTATTTCTGTATTACCCATAGGGAAAAAGTAACAGAAGAGAATAGGCTAGAAATTGAGGTTAAAACCATTCTGTGAAAACAGCAGACAGCTGCTGGTTCCTAAGGAAATCTAGAATGGTCCTGCTGTTGTCTTAGCAACTCTACAGGCCCCAAGAGCTGCATCTAAGTCCAAAACATTTGGGCTAGAAAGCAGAACTCCTAGCGAAGAACTGACAAACTCTGACTGCCTCAAAGTCATTCCAAAAATCCCTGTCTGCTGAAGTGTGCGTGTGTTCCAACTCACCAAAATGCATCAGCTTGCTATGATGGAGCTTCCCTGGGCCCTGGAAAGATCTTTATGATGAAATGAAAAAGGAAAGGAAAAAGGAGAGGGGAGGAAAGAGGGGGAGACGGGACTCCACAGCAGCTGTGCCTCAGAACTGGGAAATCCTGGGCATCCCAGTTCTCCATTAGACGAGGTGCAAAGGATTCAAAGCTGTCTACTTCTCTTAAGAAGTCAATCAAAGCAAAACATCTCTGCTTCCCTGAATCAGTTCTTCTGGTAAAATCTCCAATCAGGTCTGTTGCACACACCTTAACTTCAACCAAAACCAAAACCTTCTGGCCATATGAAACAAGCACTGGCATTTCCAACTCACCAATCAGTAACTGCACGATGTTGGAGCCGGCGTACTTCCTGACATCCTCGATCCAGCGAGGGATGGACAGGAAGGAGCCTCTCTTGCTGATGTCGTAGGCCAGGATGGCCCCGTTGGCGCTGCGATAGTAACTCTGTGTGATGGTCCTGAAGCGCTCCTGGCCTGCCGTGTCCCAGATCTGCAGCTGAGGGACACAGCACAGTGAGACACAGGACACAGACAGGACTTGATCCAACAGCCTTGATCCAAATCTCCTGTATGGGCAATACATTCTAGCCCTGTGCTAATCTAGCCTTTTGTTCATATTTAGTTCTTTTGTCTAAGGATGAGAATATATGCTTGAGAACTTTGATATAAACATATACATAATAATTAATATATATATGTAATCTATGGTGAGAACTTAGCTGCTCAAAGTTTGTACCTGAATCAGCTGGCACCCTGGTTTCCTGCCAGCAAGCTCCTTCTGTGGCAGATTTTGGAATTCTCTTCCGTGCCCAGCCCTACCCCTTTGTCACCCTCTGCAGCAGAACAAGGTGCCAGCCTTCAGCCAAGGTCACTTGGTGTCACTGAAACTACAGGTGGGTTTTGGCTACTACACTTCTCTGTGGTTCTGCCAGCTCTGTGACAGGGGCAGGAACAAAGGGAGCAGGATGTGGTCACATAATCTGAGAGCACTGATGCGGTTTCAGAAGGAAATACGAGACAATTTAAAGAACACAGATAAAAGGGTGTGTAAATGAAATGCCAGCAATCCTAGGTCTCAATAAAGTCAGCCAAGGATCTGGTCTGTCCAATCACCTGTCCTTTTTTGGGTGGTGAAACAGACCATTATGTCATTATGTCTGGGCAGGAAGAAGAAATGCTTGGTTTATATACTTCTGCCTAAATCCAGCAGTATAAGAATGATGAATTTAGTATCAGAGTTTGAGTTCCCAGTATTAGATGTTCCAGAGGATTAAACCAAAGAATTCAGTGTGGACAAACACAATATCCTGCTCATAGGGAATTTCTTTGTAAATCCTGTTGTTTTATAGGTAGTCTAATGTCCTGGAACATGATGACTTATATTCCAGAATCTTTTAATCTGAAGTAACTGTGGATGTTCTCAACCTCTTCATAAAACTCTAATTTTTTCTGAATCTTCCAAAGCTCTTGGCTTCACTATTTAGTCACACTGAAACTAAAGAATTTCCTTCTATAAATTTATATTCTGTTGCACTTTCACTTCTCTATCCCCAAATGATAAATGGGAGACCACTGCTTGTCTTTTTGTGCCATTCCTTATATTCTGCATCTCCACTGAAACAGGACATAAGTAAATACTACTGGGGTTTTTAATCCTCCCATAGCGTGGACCTTTTATTTATGGTTTCCCCTGTCTCTGATTATTTTAAAGTGTTGTCGACAGCTTAACACAATGTGCCAGTTCTATTTTATACCAAATAATATGGAATAATTTTTTCCTTTTATTTCTTTTGCACAGTAGTTTTTTCTTTGTGTCTTCTGACTCTGCTGCATTTTCGAGCAGCAGATTTCACTTTGGAAAAGGCTGTGCTGATAAGATCTCATTTCCTGTGCTAAGCAAGCATTCAGATCCCAGCTGATATATGTACAGCTGAAAAGGAATCAATCCAAGGAAAAAGGACTTCTCAGTTCTGGTAAGAGTATTCTCAGAGAAGGGACTGTAATGGACTCAGAAAACCACAAAGCAATGTTATTAATGCAGCAAATAATGGTTCAGAGCAGTCAGCACTTACCAGGGACAAGGAAACTGGGGACAGGTGTGTGGATGATCTCTGTACTCCAGTCTCCCACCAGACCTTTGTGTTTGTTAAATCTCAATACTTGATTAGGACAAGTGCTAGAAAAGGCTAATGATGATTACTCAGCTCTTGGGAAGGGCCTGAGGGATTCTGTGCATACAGGCAAGTTGGAAACGTTTGGTTTAAAAAGTAAAATTGTTTTCTCTTACATTTTTCACGTGGTGTAAATAAAAGTGCAGAGTGACTGAGTTAAGAACAACTCCTCCTCCAGTGTGGAAGCTTGAAAACCTTGTCACATCATTTGTAATTTGAATAATGTCTTACATCATTAAGAATGCACACTGTAGACACAGCAACGAAGTATTATGAACCAGATTACTTAATGTAAAGCAAGTTGTATTTCTAAAGGAAAAATACAGCTAGTTTGCTTGACAGCATCTTTAGAAAAGTCTAAGAAAAATATTTCCATGTAACATTAATCAGTCTGATATATGGTTAAAAATATAATTTAAGTAGTTACAAAAATACCAGTTCTGATCCTAAGTAAACCTGTTTTCTCCAGCACGTCTACAGAGATAACTTTCACGGAATTCTACAGAAAAAGAACCATGACAACTTTACAAAAACACCAATCACAACTACAACTTTCACCAGCTTGTGCACAGCAAAAGTTTTATATAGTATTTCTGTTAAACTATATTTATAAGCATGTAACTCTTGACAAAAAGTAACAATTTAAAACTCTTTGGGGAAAAAAATGTAATCTTACTATTTCCCATTCCAAAGGCCCTCAGTTTAAGTTAAAAGTTAAATACCAAAAGGACTGTACTAGCCACAGGTTACTAAAAAAGATATGCTCATGTATTCTTCTGTATAGACAAGCATGTGTATATATATATATATATTTATATACAAGTGTATGACATGTGTTGTAAATGACACAAAGTTCTTAATTATTTATTTCCTCGATTTAAGTGCTTCAGCTTTGTAAATAATTTGGTGGTAGCCACATCTGTCACCCAGTAACCTTTTAAAGCAGTTCCTGATTTTGTAATTACTGGCAACTCCTTTGGAGTAAGAAAGACAGAGAAGTTGGGATTGCTGGAGAATTGTGCTGGATTCAACTGAAACTACTAATTAAAAACACCTATGAAATCAGAGATTGGTGGCAGGCCTTCAGGGGGACCACTGCTAGGAGCAAAAGAGAACAGGGCAAAGAACAGGGAATACATATTCATTGTTGAGAAGGAATATGGCAGAGTAAAGGAGCCACCTTTCTTGTGCTAATTGCTTCACTATTTTCACTCATTTACTCACAAAAGCTGGTTATTTTGATCTGCTCTTAGCTTTGAACTTTTTGGACAGCCACACTCTTCAGGGTGGCACAGAAAGGACAGTGAGAGACACCAGAAAAAATCTGAAACAAAGAGTATTTCAGTTAGATGCAAGGAGGAAAACAGAAGGTGGTAAAATTCATGGAGGTTCTCTGGAAGATCATTCTGGGATGTCTGCTCAGTCTTATAGAAAGCAGATTTTCAGCTACAGAGATAGACAAAATGTTGAAGCTGGTGAGTGACAGGTTGGCCAAAGAGCACAGTAAATGTTCATTACCAAATGTGGCTGCTCCTTGCATTGATAAACATATTGTTTATCAAAGGTTAATGCTTAACAGATGGCCCCAAAACACATGAAATAATTTCTCCCTCCCTTATTTGATACATAATTTATTAAGTACTTTCCTAATTCTTCTGAAGTATCACAGGAGTTCGGGTGTACTTTTGCTTGTGGAGCAGTGTAAATAATGACTGAGGGCATCCTCCTGCTGATACCTTCCTTTATAAAAACAGAAATGTCACTTTTGCAGTGATATTCCATAAAATTTCCCAGCAGTGAAATACTGGATCTAAAGACTCTGCTAAATTAATCTTAACCAACTGTGTCTGACTCCTGCCATCTCCAATGGCAAACAATAATATACATTCCTGTAGGCTGGCAAAACACAACACTTGCTCCTAAAAACTTACTGAAATAGCCTTGCAACTTAATCCACGCTGTTTTTTGCCAAAAGCAACATCTCTGTGGCAGTGTATTTCAATTTGAAGTGATATTCATAGACAGGACAGTCAAGATAAACTGCTCCCTTCAAATGTTTCCCTACACAATTTTCAGAGAATGAGGAATCTCTCTATTTTGGGAATGTAGTGTTCCCATTTGCTCCAGGTTATGAGTATCAAAGGAGTTGACAGAAAGCTACATTTTCCTCTGGATATCAAAGAATATTGCTTCCAACAGCTCTGCTTTTATCTGTGAAGCAAAGTTATTAAATCCCCAGTCAGGAGACAAGACAAGTCACAACTTTATATCACTGGCAATTTGGCCAGATCATGACACAAAAGTATATTTTGGGCCATTCTGAAAGGAATTCACAGCCATGAGGCCTGACTCAAAGCCAATAATCTTGATAACATATGGGCTGAAAAAGCTTGTAAATGAAGAAGTGCAATGGTACATAAAGAAGTACTTGTTGTAAAAGGAATGTGTTTTCAACTGTTCTCTCCTGCTACTTTCTGAAAGTTATACTGAGGAAGAAAAACTGTGGCACAGAGGAAAAAACACTTTAAGTAAAACACTATGAAATGACAGCATAAAGTAGGCATTAAGGACAATTAATCAGCTCACAGGAAGTAATCCATCAAGAGAAAAAGACTTTTGTTATTACTAAACATGATTTATGGACCTGGACTTAGGAATGTCCTTGCCTATCATTATGTAAAATCTCGGTTCCAGCATTTTATAAATATCTTTTCTTACAGTGACATAACAGTTATAAAACATTTTTATTGTTTGCCAGATTTTTTCCTATCACTGAAAGAACAAGTCATTATTTTATCAACAGGACTTTAATCACTATGCATTAAGCAATTAACACCACTTTTAAACACTTTTGAGTCTTTAACAAGACCAACTTTTGGGCACTACAGGCTGTACTCCAGGATTTAGCCAGCTAGGGAGGATTTCTTTTGGAGAAAGCAGCATGCATCAATTTCAAACAGCATGTACTAGAACATTTCTTTAAATGAAGACAGCCTGCAGACATTTCATAAAGCTGATCTCTTTCTATATGAAGTTTAGTCAGCTTCAGCAGCTGATGAAGCAGCAGTGTGTGGAACACCACGTGAGACACTTGACAGAATACAGCTTCAACGTGCAAGGAAAGTCTCAAGTTTCATAAATAATTTTTTAAAAAAAAGCTATTTGCAGCACCTTTACCATCAGTATTCCAACAGGCATCTTTTCATCATTTTTATCAAAAAAAAAAACCCCAACAAATCACATCAAAAGAAAGTGAGACCTAAAATCCCTGGGTTCCAAATATTTCAGAAACATTATGTAACTGTGATGGGAACACTTGAAGTTCGAAACAGAAAGGGACACATTTAACCTTAAATTGTTTATTTCAATCACAAAATAAGTGTTGTTGGGTTGCAACAACCTCAGCCAGACTAAAAATGAAGTTTAGGCCACTGGGGAGGTGGAACAAGTAGCATTCAAGGGCTCCTTCTTTTTTGTTTGTTTGTGGTTTTTTTTTGGTAGATATTTTGTTTTGAAGGAACTTCCAAAGCTGAGCCTCTGAAACATTATAAAAACAGGAATTTTCTGATTCCTTCACCATTTGCTAAATAGAAAACAATACTGTCTTGAGTAGCATAAACCCCTAACAAAATCAAAGCAGCAGACAACTGCCTGTCCCACTTTTGTGAGGCAAGAAGTGCAAGTAGTGTGTGTAAGCTCAAAAAAAGTCTAAGAAAATGCTTCCTTATTCCCTGTTTCCAAGAGCATGCTGAGCAAACCTAACCCAGGTTAGATGGGCTGCTCTGAAATCTCAATCCAACTGGGAAAATCTGATTTAAACTTCACACACAGCCCACACCTTAACAGACCGAACAAAAACAAACAACCAAAAAATCCCACCAAAAAAACCAAACCAAAACAAAACAAAAAACCTCAAAGCAAATGCTTTCATATTCAGGCTGTGCCCCTGACTCAGCAGCTGACAGAAGCACCTGTAAGGTAAATCAGCAAGAGTGTTGGATTAATTTCCCTAAAGTAATACTTAAAATACTCTTCTTCAATATGTGCATTCCTCTTTTTTTTTTCTAAGTGGAAGCACTGAACAACCCAAAGAAAAAGATAAGCTTCAAGATCTTGCACTTACTTGTTTTTCATAAAATACTTAGAAACACACAGGTTTTGTTACAGACAGGCTACAAATCCAGGACTATTCAGGTGTGAGTAGTGACAGTATGAAAAAAGCACACCTAGGAAGTTTGGCTAATTTCCTGGGGTACTCCTGAAGTCCCTGGCACCAGGAACAGACACATTTATCACTTTCTCAGTGCTCAGCATTTAAATGGAGGCAGGTTTCCACCTTAAAGCAGAACCCCCCACTCCTCACTTGCCAGAGAGTCTGGAAGAGGCACTGACAGCTCAAAAACCGCAGGAAAAAACCTCAGACAACCTGAGTTTCCTTTTCAGCTCCTCAGCCCCAGCCAGACGTGACAGGGAAAGGTGTGCCACTAACAAGAAAATAAACACTGCTGCAGGGTGTGGAACCGTGAACTCCTCTTTTCCTAAAAAACTGCCAGCCTTCATTTCTTCTGTTTTCTGCAACCTTTTCACTTTAACATTCTGGTCACCTAAGTTAATTTATAAGAAAAAAAAAAACAACAGAGGACTTTGACACCAACTTTGGTAAACACAGGCCAAAACTTAACCGCATTACTGTATTTGTGTGTCACTAAAAGCTTTACAGTTCCATCACCTCTCTGCAGGCAGTGACTGAATCCAATGCTTTCTACTCCAGCCGGGGGAAGGATAGTTGTACGACCCCGTTCTGGAGGGGCTGGTGAAGGGATTGATCCCGGTTTGAAGCACCATTGTTAAAAGCACCTACTACAAACCGTAGATGCCTTAAACATTTTCTCCCCGCTGTTTACTTGCACTCCTGTGTTCAAGGGGTGAGCACAGCCGTAGGGAATCTGTGCCACTGAGAATCTGAGCATAGATCACTGGGTATATGCCCTAGGCTCTTTCTAACCCTAACAACCAGCTGATTTCCTCTAGCTTAAAAAAAAAAAAAAACGAAAAGGTCAAATTTAGAGTTTATTGGTTCGAGAAAGAAGAACCGTAAAAACGGCACTTCCTGTGACACCCTGTAAAACAGCGTCTTAAGATAATAACATGCCTAATTTAAGAACCTTCTCTCAATCTGCCCGTTCCACATCCCTTTCTGGAAACACGACAGTCCAGCTGAGCTTTCTTCTGCCTTGTGAGCAGAGCGGGGCCAGAACGGAGCCCGAGGCGAGCGGGAGCCGCCGCAGCAGCGCAGGCCGGGCTGGGGCAGCCTTTGCCCCGGGGCCCGGGCGGGCCCGGCCCGTTCCTGCGCTCGGTGCCTCCGGCCCGGCAGCGGCTCCGGCAGCCGCTTCTCCTCGCCCGGGGCCCCGGCTGCGGGCACGGCCCGAGCGAGCCCCGCCGGGCCCGGCGCCGCTCACCTTCACCCGCTTGCCCTGGATCTCCAGGCTCTTCATGGTGAAGTCCACGCCGATGGTGCTGCCCTGGCGTTCGGAGAAGGCCCCGGTCTTGAAGCGCTGCACCAGGCAGGTCTTGCCCACGCTGGCGTCGCCGATCAGCACCAGCTTGAAGAGGAAGTCGTAGCTCTCCTCGGCCTCGGGGCCGGCGCCCAGCGCGGCCGCTCCGGGCATGACGGGGCGCGCTGCGGCCGAGGGCAGCCGGCTCTGCGCAGCGCCCGCCGCCGGCCCCGCTCAGAGACCGCCCCGGGACCGCTCAGAGACCGCCCCGGGACCGCTCAGAGACCGCCCCGGGACCGCTCAGGGCCCGCCCCGGGACCGCTCAGGGCCCGCCCCGGGACCGCTCAGGGCCCGCCCCGGGACCGCTCCGGGACCACCCGGAGACCGCCCGGGGCCCGCCCCGGGACCGCTCAGGGCCCGCCCCGGGACCGCTCCGGGACCACCCGGAGACCGCCCGGAGACCGCCCCGGGACCGCTCAGGGCCCGCCCCGGGACCGCTCCGGGACCACCCGGAGACCGCCCGGAGACCGCCCCGGGACCGCTCAGGGCCCGCCCCGGGACCGCCCCTGCCCAGCACGGCCGCGGCTGGGCTGTGCCAGCTCCGAGCGGGGATCCGTCACTGCCCCGTGTCGCGGTCCAAGCAGCCGAAGCCGTCATGCGAGGGCCCACAGGCGGTGCTGGTGCTGCTGCTGAGCCATGGCTCGCTGTCCGGGCACAGAATGTGCACCCGCAGCGCTCCTCCGCATCCTCGCTGGAGTGGCGGATTTCTGAGCTGTGTTCTGCGGGTTTTGTGTGTTCCTCTTGCAGAAACAAACAGGTGCAGTTGCCACGGAGCCTTCCGGGAAGTGCCGCTGGCTTGCCTCGCTGGCTCTTCGTTTTCAGGTCTCAGCAGGGTGTGGTTTGTTCCCACAGGCACAGGCCGAGGCTCAGGGCTGTGTTTTTTCACCCATGCGAGGTCCTGTGCTGCTGAGAGATGGCTTTAGAGATGTTAACATCCAGCTGCGTGTCTGACATAGGCACATGGATATGCTGGACTGTTACATCGCGAACTGCTTCTGCGTATTAAGGTGAATATATCTCAAGAGTCTGGAAATACTTGTTTTAACTGCTGTCTGGGTTATCTGCAAAGCAAAGTGCTCTTGAACACGTACTCTCCTTTAGGTTACGTGGAAAATCAAGATGCTAATAAAAATAAGCTTTACTAATTAGACACATTGACAGAGCACATTTTGTCATTCTGTTCTTTGTACCGAAGATCAGCTGAATTCCATCCTCATTGTTTCAGGTTATAAAATTGTGAAGTGAAACTGTTTTATGGCAAAGAGTGGGAGTTAAATTGTGCCGTAGAGAGTTGTGCAGGAGGAGAGCAAGCTGATTATCTCTGAGCCAGCACAGCCAACCAGGCCAGCTTGGCGTGAATTGCCTCTGAAATCAGTCTATTTTTGGGTGGCTCCATGATTATTCCTTTTCAGATCTGGGTATCTATTTCTGGTGATCCATGGTTACCTTCCAGCCAAGGGCAGAGGTTTGAGTTCTCAGTCAGGCTGGACCAAAGGCTGTCTGTTCCTGCAGCTCTGAATTAAGCAGGACACTGCATCCTTGGATATTGATCAACCAGGACAGAAAAGGTGTTAAAGAGATAATAAGACATCACTGTGTGTATGCTTTCATGCTAATTATATTTTCAGAGCTGAGAAAAAACACTTAGGTTAGTTAGGAGGAATCATTGCTAGAGATGTTAGTCTTTAATATTTATAATTAATTTTATCTCATCATTTTAATGGAGAACTAAAGGTGCTGCTTATGTGGACATAATTATAAATCAGGGTTTTCATTATCCTTGCTAGATTTTTCTATTAGCTATTATTGTTGCTGCTTGTCATCATGAGCCTTTAACTGCTTTTAAAATAAAAAAATTCTCCAAAAAAACCCACAAACTATCACATTATATTGTCAGGCTTATGTGAGGGATCTGTGATGAGCTCTCTCACATTGTGAAAGCTGTAAGTAGTGATTTGAGTGTTAAAATATTTGGTTTTCTTTGATTAATCCTCAGACTCCATTGGGGTTAACACCTGTTTCATGCAAAGAGCAGGAAAAACAAAATGGGTTTGAGTCAATTCCAAATTGTATCTGGCTGTATTTGAGAGTGATTCATCAGAGGAGAGTAGAGAGTGCTAGAAACACTCTGTTGTAGTCTCTTACCCAGTTTTACCTAGAAAGCAGTACTAAAACCTGGGAGAAAACCCCCTAAACTGGCCCTAGTTTCCTGTTCTCTCAGTTCCATAGGGGAAGTGAAATTTCAGCTCCACCAAACTGAGCTGCAGAGCCTTGGGTGCAGGTGGAAGGTTGTTGGCAATTTCCACAGTGGATCTGGGGGGTAGGACCGGGTTATGTTTCAAAGCTGGAGACTTGAAGTTAAAAAGGAGATTAAGTTCTGACCTTCTAAATGAACGTCTACAGTGATCTCATATGAAACAGAAAAACACAAGGAAGATGCCAAAATCTGCTCTCCACTCTCCTGCAGCACCGGAGGAGCTGAGGGCAGGGGTTCCAAGTAAGTTCTGAAACTCTGTGAGGACACTGAATTTCCTCAATTCTCTGCTGTAGCAAGCATTCATTCCCTGTGGCTTCCAGAGGGAATGTAGAACAATCACCAAAATTGTTCATGAAAACCAAGATGACTTGATTTATGGCTTGGTGGGCACACTGTTTATACTGTGTTCCAAGAGAAATTTTCCAGCAAATTTCAACATTTTCTATTGATTTTGTTTGATGTTAATGCTCCTTTCGTGGTACAGCCTTTCCCTGGTTCGATTTTGGTTAAGAGAAAATGTTTAAGCATCTGTAATTCTTGATATAATTTTATGGCCTGCTGATTTTGCAGCTGAGTCAGCTGGAATGGACAGTTCTTTCAGACTACAAAAGCAGTGATATATTGTAATTTCTTTTTAAAGACAGCTATTTGTTAAATATTTAAAGATCACCTTTTATAATAAATATAATATATGCAAAGTAACAAATTATTTGGGGTTTGTTTAATTTTTATTTTTTTTTAAATATGTATGGGAACCATGCTCCCATACTCAGCATTACCTGAAATAGCTCCACAGATTTGATGCATAAATTCTTACTCATGCATATTAAATCATACATGCTCTATGACTCTTGAGTTTCTCAAAGCAAACTGCTCTTGTTCCAGTCTTATATTATTTTTAATATTTTGAGCTTTCCTTCTTGAGGAGGGTTTATGTTTACAGGAGAGACAGCATTTTGTCCTCTCTGTGAATGGGGTGTGGAGCTTTCAACTCACAAAGGGCTGACACAAATGGATGGGTGTTTTGAAGCCCATCACCAGTGAACAGATATTTCTGCTGTACAGGAATACAGGAATTCCTGCTGGCAGCCTCTCTTTCCCATCTTTGTGTTGTGTGAACTGGGGAGCAGCACATGGATAGAGATGCTCTTTAGGGTAATGGTAAGAATTGTGTTTAATTGAGAAGTTCCACATTGTTACAGTGGGGTTTTCCTTATGTGCTCTTTTCCACACTCAAACATTTGTCCTTCCAAGCAGCAGTGGTCCCAGCAGTTGGAGAACTCCTGGAATCTCAGAAAGTGATGTCACTTAGACCTATTCTAGCAGAAATTTTGCCTCTGCCTGGTGTCCTTTTTCTGTAGTAGTGCAGATGGCAGCAGAACTGCCAAGTTATAGGGAAATTACTGGCAAATAAACAGGGATGAATTTGGCACCCAAAACTTCTCCCGCCAAGGATTTGTATTGAGCACTTCTAAGCCTGCAGAGCCTACCCTTGCTGTGGGAAAAACTGAAAATGTCTCCCTCATGGTGACTCCTGGCAATGGAACAGTTTCTGTTCTGCAGCTGTTCAGCAAAGTGTGTGACTTTGTCGTGTGTGACGTGTTCCTCACCCTGCACAGGCGTCCCGTTTGTTACCAGCCAAGTTCCAGAACAAGCTGGGAATAACAAAAAAAATTGTAATTGTATTCATGAAGAGGTGTTTTGAATGTTAAAAACTATCAGCTATTTCCAATTCCTTTCAGATGACTCAGTTGTGGAGACTGGCCTCTGTCATTTGAAATGCTACATTCACATACACAGCTTAATCATCTTCTGAATGAATGAAGTGCAAATCCTCCTCTGCTTGGCTTCTGGAGCCTTTTATCAATCTCAGTCACCCATCCTTTTTTCTTTGTCTGTGCTCTCTAGAGATGAAGGGCAGGCATGGCACACAGGTTTTATCTCATGGGGTATGAGGACACACACACACTTCAGAGCCATGCCAATTACAGAACTGATTTCTTAAACTCAGCTGCTAATCAGTCTCAGACACTAAAGAGTGGCTGATGAAACTAAACCCCTCGGTTTATGTGGCCTCACAGCCAGTTCAGTCCTCTTGTTTTGGGGATCTGTGCAGTTCCCTGGGCTCCTTGGTGACCTGCATCACCTCGGTTGGAGCTGCACCATCAGGAGTGAAGAGTCAGGGAGTTTTTGGGTACCTTTAACAGCATTTTCACCCACCAGGATTCCTGCCTGGCATTTCCAGTGCAGCCAGTCCCAGAGCAGCAAGGGTGCACATGAACTGGGATTGACCAGCTGGCCTGAGGCTGCATGTCCATGAAATACTGCACAAAGTGCTAAAGATTCAGTAAAGAAACACCTGGAAATCTGGAGCATCTGCTGGCTCTTTATTCTTTTCATCAGACATCCTAAAATCTGGGGTTTCATTTTCCTCGTGTCTGTTTGGGAACCCCTGATATTGTCACAATAGCTGGATTTTTTGATGGTAACTTTTCCACAGTACAGATTGCTGAGGGAGCTCAAGTTGTTTTAATATATTTGGGCCTTTTAAGAATTATGGTGCTGCACTTCAGTTAGGTAGGGGAACAGCAGGGGAAAAGACCCACAAAGGGATTTGATTTCATTATTTTGTTTTACTTAATATACTTTTTTGTTTTACTTAATATATTATTTTGTTTTACTTAATATACTTTTTTCATTTTTTGTTTTATTGCACTTTGATGGGATGAAGCCATAGTACAAAAGTGTTAGTCTAATTTGAATTTATATCAAAGTTCATCATCACTTCAGGAAAACAGAAGAAATAAAGCCTTTGTCAAGTTTCAGTGTAAATATTAATCTGTGACTTTGGCAGTTGTAGTAGCAGAAATTTCCAGACTCATCTAAAAATGATCAATCACAGTGAAGAAAACAAGTGGAGATTTGTATTGCCCAGTGTCCAGAATTATTGTAACTCCAGGTTTCTGCCAGTAGAAAACAATTTCTGTCTTACACCTTCAGACACTTCAGAACAGAAAATCTGTATGGAAACTCTGGGAAGAGCTGGCAGTAACTGGCAGCTTGTTTGGAAAATCTCAGCCCATCACTGAGGCCTTGGAAAGGGTGACAAACTTCAGGGAACTTCTGTCCCTGTCGGATGTAGCAGCCTCTAGGTGCCAATGCTGGTCCAGTTTCAGAGCAGCTGGACAAAGCAGAGACTGGGGGCAAAGGAATCCCTCTAGGGGCTCTGAGTTTTTGCTCACACAATTTGTGTCCTTTCATTGCCCCTTTCCTTCAGGTTGTAATTGCTGCTGCTTTAGGATTTGTCTTTCTGTAATCCAGCTTTGGTAAGTGCATATGAACATTAAATTACTGGGGTTTGCAGTGTCCTTGCAAACTCAGGGGAGTCAAAAATACCCTCGGTTCTAAATGCTCTGCTGCCTTGAGGGCAACCTTTGGTGGCGTGGCCATTGCCACAGCCTTCATCTGCTGTGCACCGCTGCTGATGGGAGAGGATTGCAAAGATGGATTTTATCTGGATGTGTCAGGTTCCAGAGTCCTTCTCTGTAAGAGGCAATCTATGAATCTTTGTCAAAAAACAAATTATTAGTTAAGAGGTAAAACCGTTTTGACTCCTGAAGAGGAGACAAGAAGGATGATTCAAGGAGAAAAGGGAGGCTGCAATCCATCCCTGCTGACACTCCCTTCCCTAGAGATCAAGGTCATTTAAGAAAGGCTTTGTTAGAATTTTCTCCCCTTGGACTAAGATTAAAGTTCTGTATTTCTGTAGCCCTATTCTTTCAGAGTATTCTGAGGGAAGAGGTTTCAATCCACTTTTCCCAGGGAATGTCTTGATGCAAAACCAGCACCATTCAATTTAAATAACTCTAGATTGCTCGAGAGCTGGATGCTTGCTGGTCAGACAAGCCAAGCCAAATGAAATCTGAGAAAAATTCCGTCAGGCACATCCCATTCCTTTTGCCACAAATGAAGATGCCAGGTCAGGCAGTAGCTGTGACATCACTTGGGATAAACATTGGGAAGTGCTGCTGGGGAAGAGGCCACGTCAGGAGTAAATTGCCCCTGGGAAGTATAAATAAGTATAAATAGCAGCCATGTGGCCATTATGCAACTGCAGCAATTTGTTGTCACACATCCATTATTGAGTATAATCTGAATTTCATTGGAGTCAATGTAGTGGCAAAATATTTACGTGGGTTCCACCAACAGAGCTGCAGCACTCTGGGAAATTGTTTTGTACTCTGGAGAGAAAAGGCATTAAGAAAAATAAACTAAGCATTACAGTAAACTTAGCACCATCAAAGGAGCCATTAGGTAGGAACTGTTAGTATCTCAGTTTCACTTGTTGGCAACAAAAGTAAAATCCTCTCATTCAGGTGTAAATCATAACATGCAAGTGTGTGGACCTTAAGAATCCAGGAACAACAGAAGTTTTGTGAAGCCTCAAATTCTATTTTAATAATTCCCCAAAGAGTGCATTTAGGGTGCATCAACCATCATGAGAATGAATGTGCATTGGTTAATTAATTTAGAATACAAGAGTGGCAGCACAGACCAACCAACAACCTGTTTCACTGCATTCTGCATGTATTTTGTACATTGAATTAGGGTTTAGTTCTTACAGTTTATGTTTACTAGTTCAAAAATAGGAGAAAATTTCCTGTTCACCTGAGGAAATCGCTATTTTTTTCTTGTCCTATTAGGCTAGGAATAGTCTTGGTTTTCTGCTGTTGGAAACCTTTCCTTGGGTGAGTTTTTATCTTTTTATTGGATGAGTTATTCTAGTAGTTTTTAATGCAGTTCCATATCTGGTCAGTGCAAGCAGAAGGTATGCAACTAATATGGAAAATTACTGTCATTATGTGACATATCTCCTATGACATAGCTGGGGTTTAACTGAACAGAAAGAAATATTTTACTTTGCATTACTCATTTGCTGTGTAGTTAAATTCTTTGAAAGGGACCACTAAATCTGAATCCTTAAATTCACAGCTACTTAACCAAATGATAAATACAGAACAAGCTGGCTAACTTTGCAGAGTATTTTGTTCCTGAGAGCAAAGCTGTGCTTAGTCTTTGAGCACAATGAATTTAGTGTGAATGGATTTTATGTAGGCTGCTGAGCAAACCTTAGGAGAGGTTTACAGTCAAAATCCTCTCAGGTTGGATATGAATGTAAGCCCATCAAATCTACTTCCTACACTCACACTTAGGAGAAGACTGTCAGGACAGAAAAATGCCATGTACCCACCTCATGGAGCTGCCCAGAGCTCCTGGGAAAGGCTGGGCTCATTCTCAAAGCATGTGAGACTCCAGGGTGATTTAAAAAAAAAAGTTTTCAGATTTCTTCCTCTTTACTTCATGGGGGGAAAAAAAGCTGTCGAGTACACCTAGATCTCATTCATCATTTAACCTTCACCTGCAGGAGGTGGGGTTGAAACACATGAGAAATGTATGTTCTTAAAATACCAACATCCTTAGAACATGGGACAGGCTGGAAATCATGCAAATTTAGTGACTCCACAGCAGTGGTTGGTACTTTTTAGTGAAAACATTGCAGTTTTTCTCTGAATAAGCATCTCTTCTAAAACATCTTACATCAGAGGCATGCACTGTTGCTTCTCTTTTGCAAGGATATGCTTGTGCCAGGGCAGGAGGGCTCAAGCTGGCCCCATTCCCCAAGCCATGTCATTTCCTACTTTTATTGGGCAGAGCTGAGCTGTTTTATTTTGTTGGGCAGAGCTGAGCTGTTTTATTCAGCCTGCCCTCAGCTGAGACAGGGTGGTTCTTAGGGAATGAGCTGCCTGGTGTTTCAGGGAGCTCCAGAGCTGCCTGTTAGCACATTGATCATAATAATCACGTTCTGTCAGGATGGTGGCCCTGTAGCACAAAGGAGAGCAGCATTTTGTGATGATGGAGCCTTGCAAACTGCTCTGGTGCCTGAGCTCAAACAACAGACCTAGAATAAACTCTGAATTCAGCCTGGCAGAAAGCAAGCAGGAAGCTGGACAGAATTCAGCTTGAGCAATGCTGTTTGCTCCAGTGTTAACAAAATGTAGAGAATTCATAGGCAAAAAGGTGATTCACATCTTGTGCTATTTAATAAAGGAAACCTGCAAATATTCTTCACGTTAATTGAGTTTCAGTCTACACAGAACTGCTGTTCACCCAGAATTGCTGTTCACACAAACCTTCTCTGTGTGCTACAGTGAAGTTTTGGGCAACAATGACTCTGATGACCTGTCCTGCCCAGTGTGGAAGCAAACCTCATAACTTTTTATTTTATTTTATTTTATTTTATTTATTATCATCCCAGCAGTCACACCAGTGTTCCCAGACTGTGCAAGCAGACACAGCCACCAGTTTGCCCCTTGCAGGCAGGACGCAGTGACACTTTCTGGGGTGTTCCAAACCCATTTTGGGAGTGCTGCTTGCATGTTTCATTTTGATAGCTGATGTATTTTCCTGCATTTGCACATTGTTAGTAACTGTGGTGGTTTTTGTGCAGTTTGATGGAGTGTGTGGCTTAAGCATGACACAGTGGCCCTGCCAGATAAACACTGAGTGTTGCTTTTGAGCCCTCAGTCAGCTCCATCTGTCCCCTTTGCAGAGGGGTTTTTTTCCAGATAAAACCCAAATGGACTAAGTGTTCTAAATACAACACTGTTTTGGTAGAATGTGAGCTACTGCCATGGAAGAGATTCCCTTCTCTTTCCTCTTATAAGGACAGAAAAGTTCTCTCAATTCTTTTTTTGATGTATTCTGTGCATCTGATTCGATATGTTGGTTGGTGTAAGCAGAAATGTTTGCTAATTGCTCATTTTAAAAACATTTGTACCATTGAAGCCATGTAGTAAAACAGTTTACTATTCTATGCATATCTGGTTTATAGGAACAGAAGAGAGCTTTTTAGTGTTAATGATTTATTTCATTTTGGGGAAACAAGAAATATCATGTAGGAAATTCCATGAGAGATGGCAGAGTGCATTTCTTCTGTAATATTCTGCATTCCTACAGAATGTTGGTTGTCTTTTAAAAAATTGAAAAGCTCAGTGCAGGGGAAATATTCTAAAATTATCTCCAGAGGACAAGTTCTGGAAATGTCTTAGAAATTTAATCAGAAATGTTTAGAATCGTAGAAGGAGATCACATTTGGGTCAATATGTATGTTCAATAAGCACCCATTATTTCAGTTTCACATAGAATGCTTTATTGTTGTTCGCCCTCCAGGAAATTCAATAAGATTTAAAATCATTTTGCTGATTATATTCTCATTACCAGTTCATCTTTAAGTGTATTCAGTAAGGGATACATTCAGTATCCAGTGTATATAATCTTGGTGGTTTTGGTGGCAGAAAGCTCCTGAACCTGAGGAAGAAGTGGCTGAGTTGTTCTGCACACAGGAATGGTCCTACCAAGCCCACTGGGACACCGAGAGATGGTGATGGGTTTTAAACTCACAGAGCCTGAGTAAGAAAAGAGTTGTTAAAATAATACAGTTGGGTGTTCTTCTCCGTGTATTAAAAAGCGTAGGATGTGGGAGTGTAAATCTTTTTATGAGAGCTGAGAATTCAGTGGGAAAGCACTAAGTTAAATGATTTTTAAAAATCAGTGGAAACTGCTCTTCTTATGAGTAGATGGCAGCAGTATGAAACTTGCCTGTCCAAACCTCACCGAGCTTCTTTTTGGATGAAAATTAAATCAAACTTGCCTGAGGACCCAGACTTTGAGCTTTTTTATCATTGACTATTCAGAGCAGTGTTACCAGTGCTCTTGCTTTTCTGTTGTGGAGGAGTTTGAAGTTTCTGGTGGCAGGGAAGAGCACTCACTGTATCTTGTGTGTTTTGGGGATGTTCCTCCTCCAGCGCCTGTGTCCGAGGGTGAGCTGGCAGATCAGCTTTTTGGAGATCTTCAGAGCCCGCGCCACTAAAATAAGGGTAATTATCACTCCAGCAATTAAAATGAGGTCCCACCAGAAGAACTGGAGACACTTGGTTGGGAGAAGCCTCATACAAACGCCCAGATCATTCCCAGTGAGCTGCCCCAGGGATTTCATCCTCAGATGAGCAGGGCTGGCGCACCTGAGCCGGGCGAGGGCGGGCGCGGAGAAATCCTGCAGCCAGAGCTTGAGGTAGAGGATGTGACAGTCACAGTGCCAGGGGTTGTCCCAGACCTGCAGCTCCTGCAGGTGGCCCAGGCTGTCCAGGGCTCCAGCAGGGATGGAGGCCAGGCTGTTGTTGTGCAGGTGCAGGCTGCGGGTCAGGCGTGGCAGGGCGGGCAGGGAGCGCAGCCCCCGCGAGCTGCAGTCCACGTGCATCCCCCACGCCTCCCCCAGGGACCAGCAGCTGCACAGGGATGGACAATCCTCACCCAGGACCACGGGGAACAGCAGGGCACAGCCCAGCACGGCCAGCAGCTCCATCTCCAGCTGCACAAACGACAATAAGTGAGGTTTATAGGTTTATTAGTGGTTCTAAGAGCAGAACTGATGCCTTAAGTTTTAGCTTTTGTATTTTGCAGATTCTGTGCTGCATTAGTATATAACTCTGAACTTCATACAAAGTGTCAGCAAGTTCTCCTCACAGCTCAGGCACACACAACAATCCTTTTCCAGCCCCAGAACCAAGGACACCGCTGCAGCTTCAGGCCCAAAAAGTACAAACAGCAGCGAACTGAGGAGAGCAATCAGGGAGGATGGGACTGCATCACCTGAAGCTGGAATTGCACAATTAACCCCCATATGAAATGGACCAAAACTTATAAAAAGTGTGAAAACTCGTGACCCATGGTCCATCTTGGGTGGAGCCACATCTGGGCTCTTGGACTGCCCAAGGTGCATCCTTTAAAGGCCTTTTAATAAACCCCTACTTTATTCCTTTAACTCTGTCCAGCCTCTGTTCCAGGGAGCCTCTCAAGTTATCAGAACCACGGCAGTTATTTCTTCCCCAGGTTTAGGTTTCTGGAATAAAATCTTTAGCTTCTATATGTCCCACAGAGACCAACTTCAGCACAAACACTGAAGACAGAACACAGTTCTTCCCTTTCCTCTCTGGTTCATTGTTTTCCCTTCATATCTGTACAAAAAATACTATTGATCAAAATTCTGGGACAGAATGTCACCACAATATGGTGGGAAAAAACAGTTTAGTTTTAGGCAAAGGTTTCTATTCTGCTTCCATATCTTCATAGGTCTAGTGTTAAAATTGTGTGTTTAAACCAGGTTTCAAAATGAACCTTAAGGGATTGAATAATTGTAAATGTCTGAAAATCTTCTTTCTTTCTGAAGCTGACTCAACCATCTCCTATGTCTTTGTCAGTGAGTTATTCTGAGTATCTTTCCTCTGAATCTAGATACTCATCTGTGATTTCTCAAGAAATCTACTGGAGCTCTTTTTCCCAAAATAATCATCTTAGAAGGACAGACTATGACAGCTGTCTAAAAAAAGTTAGGTGGCATTTATGGAAAAGATGATCTCTTCTGATTTAATATTGAAACAGCAAGAAACCCAAACACAAACAGAAACAAGAACTAGGAGAGCTGGGGAGGTGCCTGGCTGACACTTACCCTGTCTGATCCCTCTTGATCCCTTTCCCTCCGCCTGCCAAAGTGCTGCAGTGTGGATGTCAGCGCAGGCTGAGTGCTCAGAGTCCCCAAGGAAGTGTGGCAGGGAAGATGAGCTTTTTCCTGGGCAGGATGGGGCAGCACGCCAGAGCAAGCTGCTATTTATGGTTGTGCTGTGACATAAAGTGCTTGGGGTGGGTCTTGTGTTTTCTGCAGGCAAGAGGAAACGCTTTGGGATTTTTGTTTTATTCCTAATGTATTTTCCCTATTGCATCTCACAGTATCTGGAAGAACTAATCTGAGATTTTTGGGGTTTTTTTCCTCCAAAAAATCTCCAGGAATAAAAGTTAGTTTGGCCCTGAGCTGCTGATGAGGGAGATGAAGTTAGCCTGTGAAATTGAGTTTTTCTGTATTAGTCAGACAGGTTTGTTTAGTATCTGCCTTCTCACCTTTTCAATAAAACTTTCATAAAAGCATACCATAACATCAAGATAACCATGATAGGTGGCATCATTAAGGGATAGAGAAAGACAGGAATAGAGAAAGGAAATATTAATGCCATTGAACTGAAACAGAAGAAATTGTGTTGAAGTCACACAAAGTATAGTATTTTATTCGTGTCACCCATGTTCAAAAACGATGACTCCAACTAGTGAAAGGAAGGTTTCTGAAATGATCTTTGTGTATTTGGCTGCAAAGCCAGTACATTAGGATCATACAGGTTTATAATACACATTTATCTGTTCATTTAAACAAAGCATACCATGTCTGTGTGAAGGGAAAGCAAAAACAGGATTTTCTTTTCACTTCTGATTGGGTGTGCAAGTTTTGGATCCAAGTTTTGCTTTGCTTCAGTTACCAGCCATGAACACACAAGAACTGTGATGGCAGCTGACATTTGGAAACCCAGCTGGTTGTGGATCTGGTGCTTCATTCAGGCCACTTCTGTGTAGTATTGTTTTGGGGAGAGGCTTGGAGCTCTTTTCTGCTTTTGGAAACAAAGCCCAGGTGAGGTTTTCGTGTTGCAGACGTGTAGCAGAGCTGTGGTTTTTAGCTGTCCTCTCTTTACAACAGGCTCTTCCTGGGAGGGAAGGAAACTTCTGGTGTATAAATTATCCTGGCAGCAATTCTTGTTCATGGTGACAGGGCAGGAGCTGCCGAGACCACCGCCTTCCAGAGAGCTTGATGTCTCCAGGGAAAGGGATAGCTCTTATCACCGGACACTCGTGCACCGAGCCGAGGAGAAAAGATGAGAGGGGCTCTCTGTGTGGATTTCCTAGGGAGTTTATTATCCTCACCTTGAAGGAGAACAGGGACAAAGAACCTAAAACGTAGGAGGGTCCAGGGATTTATATAGCCAGGAATGGGTGGAGCATCAGGACTGCGGGCCAATGGGCTGAGGGCAAAGGCAGGGCCAAGGGATAACAACCAACCAGGGTTCAGGGGTGGAGCAACAGGGAACAGGAACCAATGGGGGAGTCCAGAGCGAGGAATATTCTGGAACTGGGGTGGGCAGCAGGGATGAAATAACTTTTGGGCAGGGACAAGGAATGACATAACCAGAATGATGTAACTTGGAAATGGGTACACAGAAACAACAAGGGGCTGTGGGAGAATGTTCCTAAACATGGGTCTCATCCCATGGTTTGCCACTGATAGCTTCCCCTACCAACTCTTGGGGTGCAACACTTGTTGTCTAATTTTTACTTACTTTTAAAGAACTTTTCTTCATTAGGTCTAATGAGTTTCCAGGGGCCTGAACTTCATTAGGAACTTCCTTACGAAAATGCTTTATTGTGTATCTCTGCTCTTTAGCATTTGAAAAGGCAATTCAGACAGTGCCAGGGGGGAAAGATAAAAATACTTCAAAGCCCGTTTGAGTTTTGATCTTTTCTATGAGATGAGGAGGGTGATGCCTCCCTTGAGAAGTGAGAAGTTCACCTGCCTGTCAGGAGTGGAATGGCTGGACCTGTGAGTGGACTGCTAATGACAGGAAGGTCCTTCCACTCCTGGGATTGTTTCACTGCTTTTGGGAAGCACATCCATGAATTTCATAAATGTCTGTGTGCCCCTGTGCCTGCACAGTCTGTGCCACTGTGCCTTCAGGGGTGCTGCCACACGGAATCAAAACCTTCCTGTCCCACAGTGAAGTCAAATGCTGCGTCCTTTTGCATTGAAAACATTTGGAATCCCCTGGAATCCACACTCGCATTCTGTGCTATCCTCAGAGATAGTCCCACCTTCCTCCAGGTGTCCCTGGGGCCGTCAGAGGTGGCTGCTCATGCTGACTCCCCATGCCCGTGGCCAGTGCTCCAGCTCCCTGGGGAGGTGAGGGTGTGCAGAGTATCTGGCAGAAGCACCAGGCATTTACATTTCTGATTTTAGGGCTATAGCTTTTTGTTGGCCAAATGAGGACTCTTCGTTTAAGAGGATTTATTAAGAGACAATTTGAAAAAAAAATAAAAAAAATTAGTTATAATCCGCTATAATCTTGTTAGGGTATGAAAGTATTTTTGTCCACAGAGAGAATCCATCTGAAGTTTTTGTGAATGAGAGAGGCTCTGTCTCCTCTCAGTGGAAAGGGATTTCTGGACACTCTTGGTTCCCAAACAGCCCCTCTCTCCTCACCTCTCCCCTGAAAGCCTTTTTCTCTGGATCAGCTTTCTTTGGAGCCCTTGTCTTCTCCACTGAGTTCCAGGGGGCTGTGTCTGATTATTCAGGGGGGAAAAGGGCTGAGAGATTACTGCTTTCCTTGTGGCTCAGGATAAAAACTTCTAGTTGGAGATAAAAGTGCAGATCAAACACATGACCTGCTGAGAGCAAATTCAGGCAGAAGATGCCAGTATCTTTTCTAGACACTTTTTAGGAGTTACAGTCATTTATTGCTGTCAGTGACCTGTTCTTGACCTAGAAAAGCAGTTTTCTCAAGCACTGCTTCCATCTCCAGTGCTGAAAAAACTGCCCACCTCACATTGCAAATGGACAGCTTCTCATTTAAAACCTCTCACCTTGATTAATTCTGTTCTTTTGTACTTTCAAATAGGTTGGTGAGAGCAGACTAACCAAAATACAGCTTTGTAATTTGGATGTGAGTCACTGGTAATTAATGAATTCTACAAATAAGCAAGAAGGAGGATAAAAAATTCACAAAATTCATTCTCACATCAAGGAATACTGTTGGCAAAAATGAATTAAAGAAAAACTTCTCTCAAATCAGGAGCTATTGTTGCCTGAAGGCCAAAATATTCCTCTTACCTACTTCACTCTGCAGAATTGGCTGTCAAAGCCTTCTGAGTATTTCCACATAGGAGGACTCAGAGTTTCCTCCTGTCCATATTTTTTCCTGCTGCACATTTATCGTGATTTTGCCTAATGGGGTTTTGCCTCTTCCAAATAAAAAATCCCATTTCCTCAGATTATTCTGCAGGCAGATAAAGTCTTGTCATTTAGGAAATTCTTCTCCTAAATTGTACTTCTCCCATTTTATCACGAAATTCTCTCTCCTCCCACCTGTTCTCACAAAGAACCTCTCTCTTTGCCGTTTCCCCCATTCAGAATTTCACCCAGTGATTGCTTATTTTCCCACTAGGTGTCATCCAAGTTATTTTATTCTCCAATGTTGAACATACCCCGAATCGGCTCTTGAGCTGTAATTTCTCAATTCAAAAGAATTACCTGAAAGAACAAAATACTGATTTATTTTTAGGAAATTATTTTCTGTTGTCTCCAAGATACAAATAAATCTGAGGTACAAAATGTGTGTATTAAGGGATCTGTCTAAATCAGAGGCCTTAACCCACATGTTTGTGTTTTATGGAACTCAGAGGGTTCATGAAAATATTCATGGTCAGTTTGGATTTAGACAGCTCTGGGCTGGGAAAACTGGAGGCTCTGTGCCCATCTCTGCCTTGCCTGCTTTGCTCTAATGAAAAGCAGGTATTTTTCTAGCTCTTTATGCACAGTCACTGTCATTGAAAATACAATCCAGTGCTGCAGGCAGGCACAACACAACACTGCATTTATGGGAATGTTTTATTTAGGATTGGGATTGAGCTGTCAGAGCAGATCTCCTGCTCTCTATTTTCCGTGCGTGCCTTTTATATTAAATTAAATTGCAGTATTCACTCTGGAAATACCTGGGGTTTGTGCTAATGGGGTTTCAGTGCTTGGACCAGGCTAAAGGTAGTCCAAACCAGCCCCTCCTCTCCTGGTATAAATGGTGGCATGTGGTATCCTCAGTTCCAGATTATTTCACTGCTCTGTTCCAGCTGTTTGGGCTGTTTGTTGAATTCCCAGTGTGACAAAGAGCTATCCATGATTGACCTTGTTCCAATGCTCTGCTAACTCTTTAGGCAAGCCTGCTAAAGGTGTTTAAGCATTAATCTTTACCAGTTTATTGCAGAACAGCTGTAGTAGGGTTGTGAAAGGTGTGAGATTGTTCAGCACTCAGAGTGTTGTGGTGTGGTCCTTGCTTAAGGGAGTGGTGACAAATAAGATCAGCTAAAATCATTAGCTAATTTTCTGCTTGAAGAGTTGGAAATGTAGAAGGCAGGACACTGAACTTTATGGCCACACTGAGCAGCTGTTCTTGGAGAGATGAGTTAGATATTAATTAGTGTCTGATGTCAAAGACTACATTGGGAAAGCCCAGGTGATGAGTTTACTGTGGGAACTCATTGCAGAATTTCACTCACTGTCCATAATTGATACAATGGTTATTTTTATACTGTCCTTTACAAAGCTATGACTCCATTGGTTTTGAAATAAACCAGTTGACTGGGTATCTGTGCAGTGATGAATTAATTTTCTCCAGTGAGAGCAGCTCCAGTGCCATTGCTCCTGCCCCACTAACGCTGGGTTTACACACCGATTGTGGGGCCCACCCTTGCAGATGTGCCCAGCTGTTTGCTGTGCACAGTGAACTGCAGGAGAGTTTGCCCAGACTCCTGATCACCCATGAAGAGCCCCAGAAAGTCCCTGCAGACAGGTCTGATCCTGTTCTGCTGAGTTCCTGCTGCCAGCAGCTGGATTGTCGGGAATGTTTCACCCAGGAGGAGATGTCAGAGGGCAGAGCTGCCCTGGGGTTGGGAGGTCAGTCCTGAACATTCTCCAACTCTGCAGCCACACAGTGTTTGCTGCAGGATGTGAGATAACATTATTGCCAGCCCTAGTTTCCAGTTCTTGCATTGCATCCTCAAACCCTGATATCTGCATTTCAAAACAATGTAGGATATTATTTTTTTTATTTTTTTTAAATAGGCTTAATATTTTGAGCTATCCTGGTTCTTAAGGCTGCAGATTGCTAATGAAAGCTGATCAAGTGCCTTGGGTTCTTAAATAATTCCTTTATATAGTGTGACCTGTGATAAAATCTCAAGAGCTGAAAATGCTGCTGTGCTAATCCTATTATTTCCTATCACTGAATGCTGATATACCAACAATTTGGAAAGTCAGTTTGATCAAGTTGCTAGCTGAATTAATCACATGGTCACTTACAGCAGGGTATAAATAAGCAGCAGTTCCTCTGAGGAGAACTGTACATTCATTAGAAGATGCTGCAAGCCTCTTCCTGCATTATCTAATTATCTCTTTGCCCTCATTTGGTGTCTCTAGCCCAGTGTTGATGACTGCATTCAGTGAAACTTCCTGCATTTGGTGGAGCTGGTTGGAGGTTATTTACAATTTATTTCCTCATCAGTTTTGATAAATGCAGGCACAGCACAGCCACAGCATCTCTGTCTCTGACAGGGAAACCAGAGCCTGCAATGAGAGAAGGAGAGCTCCCCATCCTCTCTTATCAGCAGCTCTGAAATCACTCAGTGTTTGCCTCCTGCCTTGGCCATTTCTGCACCTTCAGCTGCTCCAGCTGAAGGGCACTGCTCAGGGTTTATGACTAGAGAAAATCTGTCAGCTTTGCTTTACATTTTTTTTAAAGAGGAGTCATCCTGTGAACTGCTCTGAAATACGAGGTGTCTTCAGCTAAAAGGATGAGGAAAGAGAAATCCCTGGGATTCCCCCTCCCATTAGGTATTGCTCACTGCCTCCCTTCAGTGGCACTTTATGCTGTTTTAAGGACCTTTCATTGATCATTAGATCACCAAGGATCTAAGCATGTTTCTGAGATCAGAGTGCTTTGCCTGAGCTCTTGCTTCCATGATTTGCTTTTTGCCTTTACTCATCATCTCCATTACTTTGGATGTTCCAATTTGTTTCCTAGTGAATGCAATTATTTTTCCTTTTCTTCTCCTTCAAACCCTGTGGCATTTCTGATTAATCTCTATGAATAAAACCAAACTTGGAGCAGGGAGATCCCCTTTGCAGAATACAGGGCCAGTTACCTCTGTGCTGCCTCCAGTCCCACCACTGCTGCAGCTGAACAGAGCTTTTGCTACAAATCTCTGCCTCTGCTCAGTTTGCATGTCTGGCTCATGGGAAAAACACACCAAAATCCCATCAGTTCTACTCATAGTATATTATGCTCTGGTATTTTGTTAGCAATATATTTAGCATTAAAAGACAGTTTTCTTTCTTAGAGGGTGAATATTATTCTATGTATATATGTCCTGTCTAATGTATCTATAAGAAAAATGTTCATTAACAATATATATCTATTCTTAAAATCTTCCTCTGCTAAACCACAAAAAAAAAAACCCAAATACAAAAAGAACCCCAATGAGGTAAATCACCATAGAGTAGAGTTTGTTTCCCTGTTTGCATAATCCCTTTTTTTTTTTCTCTTTTAAAATGAAATGAAAATAATACAAATTCTTGTTCCCAGTGTGGCTCAAATGTGCCACAATTTTTAATGGAGGTGTGTGTGAGCTGCACAGTGTGTTCTGAATGGAAAGGAATGGAAATCTTATTCTCCATCTTGCCTTGTGGACCTTATTCCTGTATGAAAACCATTTTCTAGGAAAAAAATCATACATGTACAGTGGAATGATCTTACTTCATCGCTGGCATTATCTCAGGCAAATAATTTCACATTCTTAAAAGATCCACAGTGCATCTTTTCAATAACATAAATTTAGCTGGCTCTTTTAGGAATTCTGCCTGTTTGGCAGGTGAATGACACAGCAAAAGCACCTTGAAAGAAACCTATTTTTTTTTTTTAACTGTTGCCCCAGGAATTATTTATTGCAGATTAAAACATTCCATGGCACCATGATTAGGCCCAGCCCTTTTACATTAATTGGCCTGAATGTGGGGGCTAATTTTGTGTCTGTGCAGCTGCATTGAGGGAAATTAAACTTGAGAACTCACTTGTGCACTGCATGGGTTGTTTGCTAACACAGAACGACGGCAAAGTGAATTTTTCAGCCCTTCCTTTCCCTGAGACCTTGGGAACAAGAGTGCTTTGGATCTTCTTCAAGCATTTAAATTTAACTTTTTATGTAAAATCTGACTGTTGACAGGAAAGGCTGCTGCATATTCCTAAGGCACCTCTATAATTGCCAATATAAAATTCAGCAGAGCAATAAAAGAATCTAGCTTCAGAGTTAAATAAGGTGAATAATTGAGTGAGAAACACAGAGCCCTTAAAACCTGCACTGCTGGCACACACTCCTGGGTGTGTTTATCATTCAGTTTGTCACTTGTAGGGTAAGGGATAACAAATCCAGGGGTAACACTTGGCTTTGGAGTGGGGCTTCCACAGAGGCTGCAGACTGTGGCCAGCCCCAGCATCCCCAGGGCTGTAAATGGCTGTGGGTCAGGTGAGGCTGCTGGGCACAGTTTGGTGCCAGCCCAGTCCCAGGGCACCCCAGGGCACCCCAGGGCTGGGGTTTGCAGTCCAGCTAAGGCAGGGCTGTGCTCAGCCCAGGGCTGCTGCTCTTCCCTGGGGTCACTCCTCGCTCCTGGCCAGTCCAGGCCTGGCTGGGCTGGACAAATGTCCTTCATTCCTCCTTCCAGCTGTCCTGGGGCTGGCTGGGCTCAGCAGGAGATGACCAGGGGGTTGGACAGGGCCCGTGGGCTCTGTGCCTGCTCCATGGGCTGCTTGTGCAACAGTTCACAGGCGGCCAGCTCCTGCTGAAGGGTGTTCAGCACTTCCAACAGCTGGGCTTTGCCTTGGGGAAGAAAATTGCAAACATTAGCATTTGAACAAAGTAAGGAAGTTGCAGTTTCACAATCACAAAAGGCTCTTTTCTTCATAGGTGCCCTTTCAATAAAATGTCTAAATTTGTGACCAAATAATGAATTCCTGTCCACGAAAAACATGAGCAAACCTGGGTTCAGCTGTCTTCTCTGTTCTTCTCTTGCTTCAGACCCTGCCCCCTGAGGTCTCACGTTCTTGTGTGAACAAAGACTATTTCATATCACCATTGCCAACCCAGCCACCCACTTTGGCTTGTCAGAGAAAAACGTTTGAGTACAAAGACTCGGGAAAAAGCTGCTGGACTCTCCCCAGGTGCTCGGCCAGACAGTGGAAAGCAGAGAGGCTGAGCTGGGTATGGCAGGGCTGATGCAGAATGGACAGAGAGCAGCACCTGCTGGAGTTTCAGGGAGCTGAGCTGTGCTGCTGTTAGAAAGGGAGGAACTCTGAGCAGCATCCCTGGGAGTCCCTGTTCCTGTGCAGGATAAGTGGCAGCACCTTCTGGACACTGCGCTGTGGGTCCAAACAATCTTCTGTTCTCCCAGGAGAACATCAAACCCACGGCTCAGCTGTGGTTTCTCTCTGTATTGGTGTCCTGGAACCCACAAAAGTGTGTCTTTGCCCACAAAAGTGTGTCTTTGCCCTCTTTTCTGGGCTCCCTCTGCAGCTGAAGAGCACAGTTTGGCTCTGGGCTGCCTGTGCCCTGGATTGCTGGGCACAAGGAAAATCAAGCTTTGAAACTGCAAACCCCAGAAGGGTTCTCGTGCTATTCTCCCTAAATCCCTGTAAATAATATTCTCCAAAACCGAGCCCCCAGGCCACATTTGTTCTTTTCTAACCTTGTCTTTGCCTGCTGCCTGCCTATTAAAAGCACCTCCAAGCCGTGTTCCCGGGACAGGATGTTCATTGGAGGGAAGTACAAATGCTTTGCTAATAGGAATAAAGGCATCAAACAAAGCCCTGGGGCTGTGGTCCCTGCACGGTTCCTGCAAAGGTAGCTCCAGACCATTGGCCAGGGACAGGAATTTGCAAGTTTAATTTTCACACAAGGATCAGGAAATGTTGTTATCAGAGGAGTGCAGGTTTGATCTGGTTTCTGTACAGAACTGTTCTGATGGGTAAATTTTGTGTTGCAGCAGAGGAACACAGCACACTGGGCTAGCAAACCTGAGAAACAGATGCAGTACATACTTGGTCATTTTTCCACTTTCCTGTATCAATGAAACCCTAAAAACATTTGCAGGATGCTGAATTACCAGCCAGAGGCCAAGTTTTAATTAAAACCTGACTAAAAAAGCACCCTGGATGTGGTTTTTTGATGTGTCACAGACTAGAAAGCATCACTTTCTATAGGTAATCTTCTTGCAAACTACCTCCTTCTCCCCAGGCTGTACCCCAGGAGTTGAAATTTCCTTTTTCTATCCATCTGTGCATTACCCAGAGTTTGTCCCAAAAGGACACTTTTCATGCTTCTTGGTCTTTAGATGTGATTTCTTTTCTTACCAGGTTGGGGGTCACGGCAGGATTCCAAAGTGCTCAGCAGGATTTTCCCCAAGGCTCGTTTAGATATGTTCTTTAAAAAATAAAACAACATTATGGCATAAATCTGTCCTTCACCAGTTTACAGATATGCAACAGAACCTGTGTGCAGGGTATTTGCATTTGGAAACTAAAACAAAATGACACTGAATCCTGATTAACACAAGACTTGATATTTGCCTTATCTTCAATAAGGCAAATTCATCTTAAACCCTGCTCAGACAGCAGTTTGTAGGGGGTTGTAAAACCTACAGCCCCTAATTCCTGTTGTGGAAAGAGAAGTAACAATTATTCAGTGGAAAATATAGAATTTTCCAGAGTGTGTGCCTAAGCAGCTGTAGGTGGCAAGGAGGGCAAGCAGAGCAAAAGCTCTTTGAGTCCTCTGCCAGGTCTGTGGGGAAGGTGAGCTGGACCTGGTGGGGTTATTTTAGGAAAGGTCTTCTCAGAGTCAGCTGAAGCACAGAGCAAATGTCCTGGGGCAGGGCTGGATCTGAGATGTAACAAACATTAGCCAAAGTGAGAGCACTGTAAAAACTACTCAGGGTTTGGATGGTCTCTCTCAGTGGTGGTTTTACATAAGAAATCTGGTGGGACATTACATAATGTGCCTGGAAAAGCAAACTCTCCTAATCTGCTGTCAGGACACTCCCGTGCTTTCTGGGAGATGGTCTTGCCTCGGGAGCCCCTGTCTGCAGGGACAGGCTGTTCTTGCTAAAACTTCAGGAAGTGGAAGGGAGCAATTTTGGGAGGAAGATGCTGTCACCTCCAGGCAGAGCTGCCCTGCTCCCTGGCACTGGGGCCTCTTCCATCTGCTTGGCTGCCCCAGTAGGGACTGGGGCAGAGTAAGGAGCAGTTTGAGGATTTCTCATGGCCTCAGCAACACAGTGTGAGGTTTTATTAGTCCTGACAGGATGTGTGTGTGCCTTTGGACAGTCACTGCTAGGTGGTAGGTTCTGTTGTGAATGAAGTATTTCAGACATGAAGGTGAATGTGCTGCAGAAGTGACACCTAAACCCCCATGTTCTGATGGGTAAGGTTTCTTTTCTCTTGGGTACAGCCCATCAGAGATTAGGGGATTCTTGCCAAACACTCCTGGGAGTTTTATCTCTTTAATACTGACTCAGAATTACATAAGCATGCAGTTAAACAAAGGTCCTGTTCTAGAAGGAAAAATACACGTTCTGGAATCTTCCTGATTACTCCTTTGTTTTCCTCATTTGCCCTCACTTTTGGTTTAGAGGGTAATGAGCTTGAAGACTCAGCTCCAAGGAGATCTCTAGGCTTTTAGAAAGCCAGCCAAAGGAGTCTAAAGGCTTTCTGCAAGCGCCAGCCAGTTCCCAGGCCACACACATGTAAAATTCTGTCCTGTTGTGAAGAATTTTGTACTTTGTAGAAGGGATGACCACATTCTTAGTTTGGAAAGGACTACAAAAGCCAGTTTTCAGTCCCAGGACTGCTTTCTCACCATACCAGGTCTCGGAGTTGTTGGAGAAGCTGCAGAACATCCATGAGCTTCTCTTCCACCAGGGACAGCCGAACCCTCTCTGTCTCCAACATCTGCAGCTCCATCTTCAGCCCTTCTGCCTCCTCCACCTTCTGCTGCAGCTCCCCGAGCACGGGGCCTTTCACCTGCACAAAACACAGCCAACTGAAGGCACTGGAGCTTTTCCTTTCTTGCCCAAGGACTGCAAAGCTGAGTTTTCCCCCTTTTGTGGTTTAATGTGCTCCATAAAGTGAGATATCAGGAGTTGTTAGGAAGTCAGTGCTTTGCTCTTGTGCACAGGGGGAGTTCATTCCTCACTGGGTGCAGGCAGGTCACTCAGGGATTTTAAATACTAAATTTTTTATATATTTTATACTTAAATATTATCATTGCTACGTCAGCTTTCTCCCCTTTTGCATTCCTGTTGTCCTCTATAAAGCAAAACTAATTTGTGTGCCCTCCCCATGATCATCTCTTTGCCTTGCAGCTCCTACAGAGCAATCGTCTGTGCATTCAGTGAGACAAGATGTGTCAGTCCCCGGTGCAGTGGGAACCAGGTGAGGAACACCAAGAGGAACAACCTCTCCACTGTTTCTTCTTGCTTTTCTCCAGATACTGGGATGAACTTCTCCTTTGACCCTGTATGGCAGTTCATAAACTAATTGCCTTTTTAATGAAGCTGGCAGCTTGCATGCAGGCTCGTATAGAAAATAATTGGCATTTCTTTGTAACACTACACTCAGCAGCACAACACTTTATTTTTAGACTTCACTCGTGTTCTCCCCATCTATCATCCCCAGGTCACCACCCTGTCTTCAGCAGAAGCTGTTTTTAAGTGTTGGGCTGTTGGAAAGTAGAACTTTGTAGAGATGACAAATCTCAGAACTCCCTCATCCTCTGGTTTTACAAATCTCAGGCTGGAGCAATTATTAATGAGTATTTGAGAGTGCTGCCCCTCACTTGCCTGCTGAGTCTCTTGCTTGTTAGCCTCGTTGTTATTTGATTTTCCACACTGAGCAGCCACAAACAGAAGCATATACAGCAGTGGATAGGGCACTTCTGTCGGCTTCAGAGAAAGTGTTGGTGGTTTATTTATTAAGCCAATGTATTTATTTGCCAGGTGCTTGAGAGAGAGAATTTCTCAGTCTTCCTATTTGCTTTCTGTTGATGGCAAGGAGAGCCACCTTTTTGACAGGGATTTTTTATTAACTTGTCTGTTTTGTAGCAGCAAATTCCTCCCCTATAACTGCTGGCTAATACAAAAGGGCTTAAGAATAAATTTCCTAACAGGAATCAAAATGATTCATCCTATGGCTATTTAATTCATGTCACAGTGAGTTGGCACTACGGCTCCTTCACCTCTCTGCTTGCCTCTAAATCAAGAGTAACAGGTTCCATTTTTCCTCTGGAATTTTGTATTAATCTGTTGATAATGGTGATTTTCCAGACAAGCTGCACAGAACTAATATCCACCAGCAGAGATGAAAAAGAGGGGAGAATGATGCTGTAGAAGAAGATGAGCACCTCAGAATGGGGAAAAAAATGAGAAGAAAACTGGCACTACCTGCAGGTAGTTTTTTCCTCTGATCTGATGCTAAGCAGTAGAGAAGGAATTTTCATGCTTCTGTAAAGAATATTTCAAGGATAAATGGCCATTGAATACTGAAAATTCTGTGAGGCAGAAATAGGATTTTACTCTGGTTTTAATTTTTTTTCTCCCCTAACAAGTAAACTTCTTAATTTAATTTAGTCAAGGGAGAAAATGATATGAAACACTGTTAAAACACAAAGGATGGCAACATGTGAAGAAGCTAAATATTTTACCCTTACTTTAAATATTTCACTGATTCACATAATCCTTCCAGAACTACTGGAAGTTTTCTGCTCTGTTTAAAGAATGGGTAAAATACTGAATGACCAGGGCAATGCACTATTTTTGTTTCATAAGAAGATTGCTGGCACTTCAATCTATACCCATCAGGGGCTGAAGTCTGCAGAATTTAAATAGTGAGATCACACAGGACTGCTGGGATACAGCACTGGGGCTTTAAATAGTGTGGTTGTAACCTCTGCTCAAGGGATTTGGACACACTAAACCTGAGAACTAATTTTATTCCCATTTTATTATATTATTGATATATTAGATTTATATTTATGATATAAATATATCAGCCTAAACCCAAGAAAAACACATAGTAAATAGGATACTTGACTCCAAAACAGGGAGTCTCAGCCAGCCTGAGGGATTTATTGAAAAGTTATTCTGCTTCCAGAGGTGTTGGATGCCTTAGGATATGGGGAGTGTTTCATCCACCTCTGGGGAATCTCAGTAAATCAAGGACAGTATTTGAAGGGCCTGGGGTATATCTCATCCTCCAAAGGCAGTTTTGGGTAGGAACAGGAGTAGAAATGCAGGTGTTGGAGGAAAGCAGGAGATGTCTGAGCTGACAAACTACAGCACAACAAGAAACATCAACAACAGAGAGCAGAATGGCCAGAATAAAATACAAACATATATAGATGCAGCTCCCCAAAGATGCACAAACAACTCTTTCACACTCTGTTTGGCACCTGTTACCTCTTCCATGTTTGTTTCCAGTTTTTTCTCTTGGTGGCCCTTGAGTTCTGTCTGCTCTGTGAGGGGGGAGATTCTCCCTGGGAGCTCCACAGGGTCCTTCCCGTCAGTGCTCTCCAGGTAGGACAGCGGATTTCTCCACGACTTTTCATCACATCTACGCACATCATTAAGAGAAAAGAGTTAGTGAGACCTCCCAACAGAGGTCTGTGTTTGTAAAAACCAGATTTCCTGTGGAATTCTTGGCAGCACAGGTCACAAATGAGTATCTTTGCTGACACTAATTAGGGCTTGGTGGGAATATCCAGCAGGCTGCTCCCCATGTGCCACAAAGGATGGGCAAAAGGCTCCTGACTGCAGCCACATGTTGTGAAATTATCTTTGCAAAGGGCTCAAAGTACATTAATTAATGAATTAAACTTACCCACTGCCACAGCAAGGGAGCTTGGCCAGGATCTTCTTCCCGTGCTCCAGCTGGGGGTCCCGCTCTCCTGCCCACTTCTCCTCCTCCTCGTCCGAGGCAGCCCGGCCCTCCACGGAGCGGAAGAGCTGATCGTCTGCGGGGACACAGGGACCCCTCAGCTGCACCCCTACACCCCCAGCTAAACCCTGAGCCAGAGAGAAGGGAGAGCTCAACCCCCCAGAGAAACACCAGCCTTGGGAGGGGCTGCAGCCAGGATCCTTTTTTAGGAGTCTGGAACATTTCAGTGCTCTCTTGTGGGTAACTTGGAGCTGTTTCACCTCAATTCCCTTCTTTTCCTGAGTTACCCTAAGGTAAGGATAAGTCTGAAGGATCAGTTGTTGTAGGGGGAAATTACTGTTCGAGTATACAATTTTTTCTACCTGTTCATCTCTCTGAGTTAAATTTTTCTGCCTAACTAATCCTGTTTTACTTGATGGAACATTTTTTCCCTGTTTCAGAATCTATAACCCCATGATTTATTTGTATGAAAACATATTATGCTAAAAAGCTGTTTGAAATACGGGTGATGTTATTTTATGTGGAAACTGAGCTGGCAAAATGTGTTATTGGATAAAAACATTTGTAAAAGCAGGTTTACTTTCTATGTCTAGCCAGATGAAGAACATGCTTCAATGTTAATTGTATTTACTTGTCACTGTTTTTAACATTCCCAAGAAGCTGCTTGCCAGCTCCATTCAACACACACCTAAAATCCAATTTTTTATCACAACAAACAGCTCTCCAGTCTGCAGTAAAGGTGTCTTGTAACTCAGAGTTATTGTCAGATAAGTGTTTTGAACTGGATGTGCCCAAAAAAATAAATCACTGCAGGGAAAGTGTGCAGTGTTATGGCAGTTGTTGGTGCTACATGTGCTAAACAGTTTGGGCTTGTCCAGAGTCACTGGAGCAGCCAGGATGTTTCCAAGGAGCGTGGCTGTACAGAATATTAACTGCAAATTGTTTCCTTGGAAATTATTTTTGCTGAGGTTCTGTATTTTTATTTACGAAGAAATGAAATCTTTATACTTTCTAAGCCAGGAAAAAAAGTTTTGGTGGGATGACTCATGTGGAAAAAAGCTGTTTTAAATCATAGCTCTAAGTGATAAGTTCAGTCTTTCATTAAACACAAAATTACGTGCGGAGTGAGAAGTGGAAATCTGGGCTATGAGGTTTTATGTAGGTCTGGGATTTGAAGAATCTCCAGGACTGGTTTGTGGTGTGCTGGTTTAACCTCTGGTTAGTATTGCTGCTGCTGGCACCACAGCTGAGTGTGGCAGGGCTGGGTTTGGGGTTTGGGGTTTGGGGTTTGGGGTTTGGGGTTTGGGGTGGGTACCGTGCTCGGCGGTGCCGGCCGGGGAGCGGCGATCCCTCTGCTCGGGGCTGTGCTGCTGGCCACGCTGCCATCGCTCCGCTGCCCACCTGAAAAAGAGACCAGGGTGAGGCTGAGTGCAGGAGGTTTGGAAAACCAAGATGTGCCCAGCAGGGCTTTGGTGGGATGCAGCTGCTGGGACTCGCTGAAGAACGGGGCCATCGACCTGAACCCCAAGCCTGAGGTGACTTCCCTGACAACCACAGGAAGGTGGGTTCCAGCTGTCCATAGATAAGAAGAGCTGAGCTGTACCCATAACTTTGAGGTCAGGTCAAAGACCTCTAGAAAACATATATGGAGTAGTCTGCTCTGGCCACAGGCACCTGCAGCCATTCCCTTGGGCTCAGAAACATCTGGGAGTTTGATCCATATCTTCTGAGTGCTGGGATGAAGCAGAGTCAGAGCCTGAGCAGGCAAATAAAATGAGCCAGAAATGGTGGCACACCTGGGAACCAGGGTGAAAAGCATCTCAGAATGGGTGTCAGCAATGCTGAGAACCTCCTTTGGAATTGTCTTTGTCTGAGATCAACGAGGGCCTATCACATTTATGTGTTTTAAAGGAATGGCTTTCGTGGGATGGGACACAGATCAAATAATGTAACTGAGGGACAGGAGTCCTCAAAGTTGCCCAGTTCCCTACAGGTTCTTCTATAGATTAGTTTTGTTCTGGTGAATATTGCATATTTCCTTTATTCAACACATTAAATAGCCAGAAATGAGAGCCAAAGCGCTCAGCAGATGGGTCCTGCTGACACAAATTGTGTAACGTGAGTTTGCTGTACAAATCTTGTGCTTCCTGCCTTTAAATTCAGCCACAGCTGGGAGGGGACTTTGGCTGCAGGGACAGAGCAGCTGAGGCCACGCTGGACACCAGAATTGCAGAGGCTTTGTTTAACTCAGCTGCTCCTGGGGAGCCACACCAATGGTAGTTCCCTCCTTGCCTGTGAAACTGGAAGGAGTAAACAAGATCATGGCTTTAACAACAGAAGTCACTATTTGAAAACATCTGTAGGGGAAAAGCTGAGCTAAACCTTACTGAGAAGCCAGCTCTTACTTTACCCCCTTGAGTAAGGCTGACTGCATTAAAAACTAATGTCTTGCTCAATTTGCAATTTATGGCGTTATTCAGCTTAGCAACAACTGGATTTCCTGTAAAGCCAAGGGACACAGCAATCCCCAGGAAGGAGCCTGGACAATCATCAGTTCTGGAAAAAATCCTTCTGGAGCGGCGCACAAACAAAATGCACTGTAAAGCCTGGACATTCAGAGTGGGGGCTCTGAGAAGCATCACAGAGCTTCAGAGTCCTGGACAGCTGCTGGGGGATATTCCTTTCACAGGGATACTGCATTTTACTTTCCTGCAATGTGCTGATTTTCTGGTACCTCTACAGGAATCCTTTACGATTTCTTGGGCACCGCAGCTGGTGTCTGAGCAGACTGCTCTCAGTTTTGAGCTGCAGTATAATTTAGATTGTTTGGGTTTCAGATGCTAGGGTTAGTTCACATAACACAGATGCTGATATTTCAGTGAATATTTATTGCAGTGGTTAAGATTTTAACCTATAAAAGATGGAGAATTTTCAAGAATCATGAAAATCCTTTCCAGCAGGTGTGGGTGAAGGGGATTTGAGGAAGAGCTGGAAGCAGGAATCTTCACTGCTTCTCAAACACAGGTTTAGTTCTTCCCTCATTGCTATTCATACAGCATCAAATGGGTCCCCATAAATGAGAAGAAGAGTGAATAAACAGCACATTTGTTTGGGACAGAGATCAGAGGGGGAAGCGGCGCTGGAGGTGCCTGGGAAGGTTTGTGTGGGGTGAGCGTGGCAAGGCTTCCATGGAGACAGGGAAACAGCCCCCATTCATCTCAGAGCCTTTATCCCCAGCATAATGGACAGCAACACACAAGAGGGGAGAGTTTGCAAAGTACTGGGCCTTCAAGTAATGTCCATGACTAATTGGCTTTTAATTGGCTCTGTGGTATTGTTATGGAAACATCGAGCTGCAGGAAAACCCACCTGCTTCTGGTGCCGAGCAGATCTTGGGCTTAAATAATTCCTGACTGATCAGAAAATAACTCTGAGGAATAATTAACTTGTCATTCACAGACCTTTAACTCGTCTCTTTTAGAGACTTCCTTGGAGCAGCTCAAACAGCTGTGTGTGTACATTGCCCTGAGCGCAATTATACTCAGAGCTACACTTTATTTTCAAAGTGTAGGACTCGTGGGTTTTAATCAAAATGAGGTGTGATTTTTATTTTTGTACTATTTTACCTAAACTGTCAGAGTTCAGGGAACTCAGAATGGTTTCAGATTTGGCTTATTCCCTGTGGGAATCAGAGACTTTAGGTGTGCATATTTTTGAATTATTTACAACTTTTCGTTTACTGTTGAGATTATGTTTTCACACTGGAGCTGAGTGTCTCTGTGGGTTTTCTGAATACATCTGTCTCTGGTTGGTGCTGTGAGCTCCTCTCCAACAGAAATCCTACAAAGGAACTTTCTGTGATCGATACAAATGCTTAATCTCAGCTTTTAAATAGCTTGATCTGTCAGGCACTGAAGATTAATGTTTAAAAGCATGAATTTTTAGTGGCTATAATAAAGATCACTAAATATCCTGTCTTTATATGGGCAGTTATAAAGTATATTATAACTCCAACTATAATGGTTGCAGTCCTGGGAGGTTTCCTGTTACTGGCTGATGGTTTTCATTTTCTTGCCAAAATCACCAGCCTCCAGAAAAAAATCATTTAAGTGATGGCCATGTGTTTTCTTGCAAACCTTTCCATCTCCCTGCATGTTGGATACAAGCAGGAAAATCCTGGAATGGTGCTGTCACACACAGCAGGATTGTTCTTCCTGTGGTGACTTGGAGCACTTTGGAGAGGGCACAAACCTTTGTGCACACGTTTTGAAACTGCATTGTTCGAGATCTGCTTTTAGCCCAGGCCATGAGGAACAGCAACAGAGGCATGTGGAAGCAAACACAGGGGCACACCCCCACATGCCCATGCCAGAATTGCCCGGGTACATTCTGTTTGTCCTTCCTGCTTTTCAAACTCAGATTTGGAGAATTCTGTCTCTTCTGGTGTCCTGACTTGGATTTTACAGAGAGATGCTTGAGAGCCTGTTGCTAAAGGACATGAAATGATTCACACAAATGTCTCTCAGTGTTAGAACAGGAAAAAGCTACTTGACTCTCTGACTCCAGTATTTATAGATTCGCAACAATCACCAGGGATTGGATAATTAATTACCACCTTCCCAAGCGCACTGGTCATGCAAAACATCCATCAAAAGACATTTCTTAGAAGGAATAACCCACGTTTATAGAACTTTCATGGGAAAGTAACTAAAACTTGAAAACATCAGAAGGCTTTAAGTCTCAGGGCGACAAGAGCCTACAATCAAAAATTAGTAACTCAAATACTGTGGTGTTCTGGGCACTGACAGCTCTAACCAAAGCACTTGGCATAAATCATAGAGGCCAGAGAAAGCAGAGCTGTGCTCCTGTGGATCATTTCCTTTTGCCATTGCCTGTCTAACAACCCTCACCTTCATGTGTTCCTTCACGTAGACATGTGCTGTTTAATCCCCAGCAATCCTTCCCTTATCTCCTGGGTGCTGCAGTGTATGTCAGTAAAAAAATCCAATGTCCAGGGAGCCTTTCAGTGCTCTTCCTAACAGAGTACCTAACCTGGGTGAAGATCCTACAGAATTCCACTCTGAAATCCTAAAAACGTGCCAAAGCTCTTTGTGATGTCTGCAGAACTGCAGCAATCCCTGAGTGTGGTACAGACTGGGAGAGCTCCTACTCACTGGCACATGAATGCCTTCAGGATTTATTTCAGTACCTCACTGATTTAGAGCCTCGTGGGTCTGGAGTGACAGCAGAGAAAGATGGCTCATTTAACAGCAAACACTGTGCCTTCAGCTGCCTGTGAGTTATTTCTGACCGGGTCTTCCTGAGCATTTGGGAAAATCCGGCAGGAACATGGGAGGGGAGGGGCTGTGAGCATCAGTTCTGCATCCAAGCTGGGTATTCCCAGCTTGTAAAGGGGTTTTGGTGCCTGCAGGTTCCCCAGGAGAGCTGTGCTAGGGCTTTGTCCGTGCAGAGGGACAAGGAGGCACCGGGAGAGCTGAGCTGAGGTGTCAGAGCCAGCAGCTGCCTGCTGGGGACCTGGGGAAGGCACAGCTTCCACTCCTCAGATCCTGCATCAGGAAGCAACAATTACCTCACCCCGTTGTGTTTACTGCCTCGTGAAAACATCCTCAGAGCTCCAGAGAGTGCTGTTCCCCACCAGAGGCTCTGTAATTCTGCATGTTCCTTCAGTCCAAGCTCTGTGACTGCTGTCTTGATGCCTTTTGAAAGTTTAAGGTTTCCTGACAGCAGCCTTCTGCTCTGCCTTCTTCAAGTATTGTTATGGTAGGTGACTGAAAAGTAACTCCTGAATTGATTCCCAGAACTCAGAATATTCTGAAATGATAGGAACTCACAAGGCTCAATCTTAAGTGAATGGCCCAGTTGGATCAAACCCACAATCTTGGCATTATTAACACCATGCTCTGACCAACTGAGCCAATCTCAGGGTCCACTATTTTCCTTTGCAAATATTTATAAGTTATTTGCCAGTTCCAAGAGATCAGAAAATGCTACCTAGTGATTCTGCATTTATTAGGATCCTACCTGTGCTTTGGCTGCAGTTCTAGCAACTTCTATTTTTCCTTTTGTTGGTGATATGGTTGAATAGGAAACATTATTGGGAGGTGAAAAAGCCACTGACAGGAGTGTAGTGTGACCATTTGCAGCTGCTCCCTGGGTGTAAGAACTGATTTCCAGCAGTGTTCAGCACTCTGACTCCTCTCCCTTCTCCATGGCTGCACCTCTGCTTGTCTCAGCAGCACCTCCCGTTTTTTGATGAACCCCAGCCCAAGCAGGTTTGTGTTGTATTCATCACCAAATTCACTTAAACTTATCAAAGTTTAAACTTATATAGACTTTTTCCTAGCAGAACGCTTAAGCAGGTGCATAATTTTAGCCAGTTA